TGTGGGTGGGTGCGTGTGTGTGTGTGCGTGTGTGCGTGTGTGTGTGTGTGTGCGTGTGCGTGTGTGTGTGTGTGTGTGTGTGTGTGTGTGTGTGTGTGTGTGTGCCTGGTTGGTCTTGTGTTGGCGCTCTGTTCAGGAGAGCATCATTTGAAGTAACGAAGAGGTGGGGTACGTTGCCGATTGTCAACAACCTGTTCAAGATCTATTTCCAGGTGAGTGCGGTGTGCGAGTGCATTGCTTGTGCTTGTGTGTGGGAAGCTGCAACACTGCCTGCTCCATGTTAGTGTATATACGTGTGGGGACATACCGGTACATGTATCTAGTTGTGACAGTGCTGCTAGGGTACCGGTAGAGCACTCAGCCTGTTTTTATTAGTGGTGTGCACGGGTAGTCTGGTACCCGTGCTACCCGTGATGACCTCGGGTAGCACGGGTACAGAATAGTACCCGAAAACCCAAAGTTGCAGATGACATCATGTACAGTTTTAAGCTTGCCCAGCTCTCGCAGAGTTCGAACATTCCATGTCCCAAACTGATACGCTCGTGAGTTTTTCCGTCCCTTTTTTTTTCTTCATGTACAGTGCATGTGTACAAATTCATGTAATACTCCGCATGTCTACGCAGTGTGTAAGGGAAGGGGTGCATTGTGATGTTACCATGGATACATTACCCGATAGGGTACCCATGCTACCCGTGTTAACTACCCGAACCCGATAACCGAAGAAAATGCTTCCCGACTCAGCCCTAGTTTTTATTATCTGACATGGCCAGATAGTGCAAAGTTTCCAACAACATGTTGCCCAAAAGTGGAGTAGACTTTCGGTATACTGCTTTTCTGGTGTGACGCTGCTTAGTGCGATACCAACACCTGGTGATAATTACTATACTGTACATGTGGGGAAGAAAGGGACCAAGGACTTACAAGTTACGCTATCATGTAGCTTGCCACTTGTAGTTCCTCGGTCATCTTCTTTCCTATAAATTAATCCTTGGCTCTCCATCCGAGTCTATCTAAACTGTATATCTGTGCATGTACTCGTACGTACTACATGTGGATGGTTCCGCTAAGAATCTCATCCGCTGAGATGGTCTTTCTGTACAGCTGCTGGAACCTACTCATCTTTGCACAGGTCAACACCTTGTGTACCTCTGTACCTCTGACTGTACCTGGTCCTTGGCAGTTATCTATAGGGATGAGTGGATGAGTTGTTGGAACACCTGGACATCATGCTGCTATTCTAAAGTGTCCTTGCTGAGTTGTTGTTTTTTGCTCTGAAAGGATAGCGTGTATTGCTTCACAGTGCAAAATTGCTAGAAGCTAGTTGCCAGATAAAGGAAATATAGGTTGGAAAGAGAAATACGGACAGCCACTGAATTAATTCTCCAAACGATAGCACACCAGCAATGGTTCAGCTACGTTAGGAAAAAAATAAACCAGCCCTATTGCAATCCAAAAGGCTGGACTCACTAACGACCAGTAATGGGTTAGGCTTCAGCTGTTGAGCCACGGGCATATCATCAACAGACATAAATCATTCTGGCATGACAACTAACCTGCGCTCTAGACGGCCAGGCGGGTAGCTGTGCGGACTTGAAGGCGTGGTACATGACCATGAGGTACGAGGTGAAGATGCGGCTCACAGTACCTGCACTGATTGAAAACCTCTGAGCCAGGTCTTCGTTAGGACAATCCAGCCGCAACTTCATGAACGTAAGGAGCAGGCTGTTTTCATCGTCCAAGGCCCTCACACACTGACGTTGCCGTTCACCTATGCAGTGGGCACAGTACATTGAACCGAGACATGTATGACATGGCCCACGAAAAGAAGTTTGATTTGCCAGGAGGATGGAGACTCACAGCACTGAGTATGGAAATTATGGTACCGACACAAGTAGGTTCCGTACTACTGAAGTCATTCCACCCAACAACATTGCAAAGCACAGTATTTACATCATCAAAATCTAGCACAGAGCAGATAACATCCTCACCTGTTCTTGCTCCATTCCATAAGGTGACCCTTGCAGTGGGGCTCCAGGAAAGCCACCAATGCCTGAAATTGCTCATAGCTGGGGATACCAGTATAGAACTTGGTGAGGCTGTCACTGTTGCAAATCCTGGCGACAGAAAACTCTGGTGCTGGTACTGTGGCAGTTTCCTCCAACTTGACTCGCAGTGCCTCATTCTCCTGTGTCAACTTCTGCACCTCCATCCGCAACCGTGTGTTCTCCTCCAAACATTCCTGGATCTGAGTTCGCACTTCACTGATCTGCTCATCAACGCTGGGCAGGGATGGTGATGGCTGCTCCTCACAAGTGCTTTCACATGTTTCAGGCTTCGCTGCTGACGGTTGGGGCGTTTTGTCCTGATGTGTCTTCAGGGCCACGCGTTCTTTTGGCGTTTTCCTCGTCTTCTCTGCTGCTGACCACGCGAACAGCGTTGGGATAGGATGCTCCTTGGAGCGCTTTCCGCCAACAAAATGAGCGCCGCAGGCCCTTGTCGAGCTGCCCACAACCACACTCGATGTCCGCATGTTGTGGAGCCACTTTTTGAGTGTAGGCTTCTTTCCCAGAGGAAGACGGTGAAAAGAAAGCTTTGTTCCATCTTTCCGCTTGCCACCCCGATTGGAGCAGCCAAAGACGCAGCAAGACTTCGTCATCGTGTCTAAACGACTACAACCACTTCCTCCACAGTCGACAGATAACCTGAACCGAACTAAACCAAAATGTAAGTTTGTTCTTTCTTCAAACAACGAAGCCCAAAAGGTTTTGCCACCCAATTTGAGCTTCCCGCGCGATGACGTAAACCAATGATGTCACTTGCCCTTGTGTGCACACCGCTTATTCCATACCCCACATCAGTAGGTAGCCGAGCCACACAACAGTAGCAAGACTTGATACTAGTACTGACGAATCTTAATGTTTCGACCATGCTGGTCTTCTTCAGAATGAGTGTGTCCTCCTCCGTTATCAACATCACATCGAAGAAGACCAATATGGGTCGAAGCGTTAGGATTCGTCAGTATCAAGTCTTGCTCCTGTTGTATGGTTCGGCAAGGCAATAAATCTGTCAGCCTGAGAGAAAAAATAGTGGGTGTTGCGCTATTCTAACTGTTAAGTGTTAGACCTCGATGGAAAGCGTCGGTGTGCAAGTCGCCGTTGTCGGTGGTCTTGGTGATGCCAGCCGGTACATGTACCATATTTTACCGGTTATGAGTTGACCTCGGGTATAAGTCAAACCCCAATACTTAGTGCCTCGATGTACTGGTTCAATATCAATACGATGAATACCGAGCGGTTGGCCCCGGCTGTAAGTCTGCTACCCTTTATTAATTCGTTTTTTAGGTCATAGAAGGTCGACTTATAACCGGGAAATACGGTATCTGCTTCCTATCCGTAGTGCATGGGTATTCCAGCGGTTGGCTTCCTGTTTTGACAGAGCACAGAACCGAGACCTTTGAGCAGAGGTGTGTGTATTAGGATGGAGTTTCTGCCCAAGCTGATAACAGGACAGCGTACGCAGCGAACACATCTCGGACATGATGGCATCAAATGCGGCTGAGTGGTCAGAGTGCCAGATAAACTCAGGCGGCACTTTGAAAGGGGCACACAATGGGGAGGTGAGTTTGGCGAGACGAGAGCTTATCTCACTGCACTGATTAGCAAGACTTAAGAGCGAACGGAGGTCGGTGTGGCTGCACGATGGATCCAAGTTACGGATAGCTGTGAGCTTTGCATCGCCAACGGTCAACGTTCAACACTGTTACACCGTAGTTTGGAAATGAGTCTTGTGTACAGTTGTCTGCTGTATTGTTTACGGTTATATCCTCGCCTTCGCCGTTCCCGGCCTCTTTTCGCAAAGGTATCCATTCGTGCTGTGGCCAGCAGCACGTCCTGGGTGGCTTTGTGCTTGTTACTACGATGGTGGTGAATACGTCGAGCGACATCGTTCAGTTTCTCCACGCCTTGCCTACTGAACTGTTGCAGGTTGCCGTACCTTTCTCAGTAGGTATGGGACGTGCATCGTCAATACATGCATGTATACAGTATGGGGTAACCTTGGCCTTGCCGTATATGGGGATGCGATTGCCAAGGTCGCAGAAGATCTTCACCCAGCCCATTCTTGCTGTGGCTAGCAGTACGTCCGGTGTTGCTTTATGTTTGTTGCTCCGGTGGTGGTGAATTCGTCTAACGACATCATTCAGTTTTTCCAACACCTTGGCCACTGAATTGTTGCAGGAATTGTTGCAGGTTCCCATGCCTTCTCAGTAGGATCAGGTGTAGCTCGTCGATCACAACTTGATCTAACCCCATGTTGATCAAAGTCTGATCTAAGGGGTCGTCGCAAAAGTTTTCTGTCGTCCCTGAAACGAACATCGTTCATTTCGTACTTGGACCCCTCCCCTCCCTCTGAAACGAACACAGCTTGCTATGCTGGACGACGAAACTCGCAGGCATGTACATGTCGTATGTACAGTGTCGGTCGACTTGCGATTTTGGCTCGCACCCCCTCCCCCCCCCCCCCCAAATGAATCATGTTCGTTTCAGGGACGACAACAAACTTTTGCGACGACCCCTAACTTAACTTCATGATCAATGGTTTCTTCGGCCAGTTCGCACGGAACCCAACTTCTCCTCAATGCCTTTCTTGTCAGCGATGCCAAAAGTGTGGCAGCACTTATTGGGTTCTGATACAGGCTCACTGATGCCATCAGTCACCACCTCATCGAGCTGTGCCTTTACCATTTAAAACGCATATGCAGCAGGATGGGCATGATGAACGCACACAGGCTTTGGTTTCGGGCTCCAGCTGGATGTTGATAGGTTTGTGGCACAGTACATGGGTTTCAGATGGGGGTTTGTTGTTGGTTTCGTGTACATTTCTGGGTCTCTACATACGATGCATTGGATTTCTGGGTCTCTGCATCTGATGCATCGGATTTCTGGGTTTTTTTGCATGTAGATAAACAAGGTACAGCTGTGCAAGCCATTGTTCCGTGCCATTCAAGCGTCGAACCTGAAAGACAACTTCAAAGTCAGCCATCTCGTCACATACAAGTGAGTAGGATGCCTGCTCAGCAGCACTAAGGCGTAGATGCTGCTGGTTTTGGTTCTCATACATACTTGGTGCTGGTACTAGTACTGATGCTACTAAAGCCTCTTGTACGGGCAAAAAGAAATAGATTGTGAAATCAATAGTGTTAAAAAAAGCACCAACGCAAAGGAAAGAGCAAGCAGAACCCAATGTCATTGATCCGTCTAACCAGCATGGGTAGTGCAAGCAAGGCAAGCAAGGGTACTGGTACTGATGCTGCTAATGCTAGTGATGGCAGTACTGGTGGTGCTGGTGGTGCTGGTGCGGGTGCTAATGCTGCTAATGCTGGTCGTGATGCTGCTAATGCTAGTGCTGGTGGTGCTGGTGCTGCTAATGCTAGTGCTAGTGCTGGTGGTGCTGGTGCGGGTGCTGATGCTGCTAATGCTAATGCTAGTGCTGGTAGTGTTGGTTCTGCTGGTAGTGCTGGTTCTGGTGCGGGTGCTGCTGGTAGTGCTGGTGAGGTTATAACAGATACACATAGCTAGTTTTACCCTGGCAAATGTCAATTGAAACGTCCAATCTGAGTGGTCGTATTGTCACACCGGCACGTGGTGTCTGCAACATTATGTGCAGTGCCTGCAAAGCTCCACCTGGTGTGTGGAGCTGTTTTCTGCTGTGAGGGTGGATGTGCTAACATGCTGGTTTTTACCTGAAATTGGAAATGGCTATGGTCTTTATGTGCACTTGAGTACATAGACTTATTTTTGTAAAATGATCATTTTCTGGCATTTTCTGGCCTTGCTCAGGTATTACTTGGGGCGGAAAGCTCTCTTCGATGGGTCGAACAAAGAAGGTGAGTTGTGTCGCCTTTCATTGTTTTGTGGGGTTGGTTTGGATCTTTCTTTGGTGAAGACTCTTTGTGCGTGATGACTGTGCTCTGACATGTGTAGCACCTCTTCTTCAAATGCACTTGTCCACTAGGGTCTCTCCCCTATTCTGTGTGATGGCTAACTCTCGTTAACGGGTTGTGATCATGATGAATTGATGATAGAGCTGATACTTCCGCGCTGATGTTCTGAGGAGAATGTGACTATTTCCTTGCGGGGAAAAGTGGCTGCTATTGGCAGACTGCTTTTCAGCCTATCGGTGGCAGAGCAATACAAAATATATTTGCTTTCCTCTGATTTTGGTGCGATCTATTTTTGTTCTGTGTTAATCACTCGCTGTGTGTGTGTGTTTTTTCTTTCTTTCTTTGTAGCGACGGAAAACTTGCGGTTTGCATTCGAGCGCTGTCACCGTGATAATAAGAGGAACAAACGGTAAGCAAAGGGCCTAGGGTGAACCGGTCAGGACAACCAATCTGATAATGCGACACTATGCATCTTTTCTTTTTAGTTTGTTTTCTTCTGGGCTTTTGTTGCAGCCCAGTGCCAAGTTGCCTGTCTAAGATTATGTCCTTTCTTTACATTACTCTCTGGTAGCAAGCGACTTACATGAGGGTGTATTACCCCCAAGAGTGCGTAACTCCACTACGGGGCCTGTGACCGCGGAGCTTCGCATCACGTGACAACCCCATACAGACTATCTGCACCCTGTGAGCGACCGATACAATGTTGTGTGCAACCCTGCTTTGGGTGCAACTGTCTGGTGATCACTTTGCAACTGTTTGCCAGCCTAACCTACTGGACCATGGTATATGATATGAAACACTGCCGTCACAGCACTGATAGAGGCTGTACAAACAGCTGCACACCCTGGCCTGCGGGAGGAGGGGGTTATGTACTGTTGCTGCTTTTGAATGCACACGTGCAGTGCCACACCGAGAACCTGCAAACTCAAACATCTGTCATGCGGACGCCTCAGATACGGGCACGTCCCTCTGCCGGGCACATTCAGCTTGAATTGTGGATAAAGAGACGTTCGAGTGTACTTGCTAACCTCGGTAGACTGTTCTATGGGGCAAATCGCAAGCTGATGTGCCACACTGACACACACACATACATACACACACACACACACACACACACACACACACACACACACGCACACACACACACACACGCACACACACACATACACACGCACACACATACACACACACACACACACACGCGCACACACACACAGTGTGGCTTTAAAAGTAAACTGCTCCATCGTATTGACGATTGTTCTTTGTGGGTTATGTTGTCACTTCTGCTGCTAGACTCGTGCTCATTTTCCTGGTTCCCGTTATGATGCTACAAGTAAGCTGACGCTCTGTACTCCGAGCAATACACCCTTTATTCCTGTTGGGTGATATCACGGTAGAATCAGGGTCGGGCCGGGGGGGGGGGGGGAGGAAGCAGGAATATCGAAGTCCTGAATGTAGATTGTGTATGCTATTGACCTAGAAGTACATGAAAGGTCACCTAGCAACTTTGCAGGGACCACCATTCAACAGGAATGTTCTTGATCCGCCCTGTACACAAACCCGTGCAATTTGCTGTTGTTTTTAAGCTTCTGTACACGCGGGGCCAAGCAAACACTGTGCTCTAGCGAAAATTACGCTAACTTACACTGGATTATGTTTTAGCGAGGAAAATTTGAATGGAGGCAATTCAGTTTGGGTAGGGACATTTGTAATTTGTACGTTATAGTGAGGCTCATCTAATACTGAATATTGTTATAGTGAGGTCTGACCTGTACTGACCCAGCCTGACCTGTACTGACCCAGCCTGACCTGTACTGACCCAGCCTGACCTGTACTGACCCAGCCTAGAAACTATCAATTGAGTTTGACTGTCGTCATTGGTAGCCTTTGAACTTTTAAAAGTATCTCATGAAGATGTTCTTTGGGCAGAGCACTGCAGTCTGTGCTTAGTTAAACTGCAGTCTGTGCATGATTAAAGATCAGTTAGGCAATAATGCTGGTTGCTACCGGTAACTCTGCTGTGTTACTGTAGATGAATAGTTGATGCTTTGTGCTTTGTCCATTTTTGTGTGCGAACCCGAATACTTGACAGGGTCGTCTCCCCCGACCGGAAGTGTTGCAGAAGTACTCACTTGTGCAGTTCATGGACATTGTGACTGCTGTGAGGTGAGTGCCGGCACTGGGGATGGGGCATTGTACCATGTTGTGTGTACAGTCATATATGTATATGTTGATACTCTTTCCGGGGCTTGTAGCGTGTAGTGGATAATGTGCCAAGTTGTTTTAACTCAGCGGGTGACAGCCTGTGGCCTGCAATGCGTACTTGAAAGTAGCTTAGAGTAGAGCGAGAGAGCCCCCGCCACCTGTAGGGCACCGTTGTGGTCGTGTCTTGGAGGTGGAGCAGATGAACTGTAGTTCTGTCCGTAGGACATACTGTACAATCATTGTGCGCCGTGCTGCAGTAAGTTCGCACTCACTTCACCCTTCCGGTGGCAGTGAGGTCCAATCACGTGAGTCAAGTTTGCGTACTGGACCAGTTCACACCCCAGTGTTCGCAGGTCTGTAGGGCTGCACCACGCCCTGCACCAGTCAACAGTCCAGTGTTCGCAGGTCTAGGGCTGCACCACGCCCTGCACCAGTCAACAGTCCAGTGTTCGCAGGTCTGTAGGGCTGCACCACGCCCTGCATCAGTCAACAGTCCAGTGTTCGCAGGTCTAGGGCTGCACCACGCCCTGCACCAGTCAACAGTCCAGTGTTCGCAGGTCTGTAGGGCTGCACCACGCCCTGCACCAGTCAACAGTCCAGTGTTCGCAGGTCTGTAGGGCTGCACCACGCCCTGCACCAGTCAACAGTCCAGTGTTCGCAGGTCTAGGGCTGCACAGCAACCTGCTCCAGTTCGCATCCCAGTGTTCGCAGGTCCAGGGCTGCACCGCGCGATCGGATTTCATTGAACAGCACTGTATACTTCTACTCAAGCTGCTCTAGTTCTTACTGCTGTCTGAAAAGCTCCCAAGCGTGAAACTCCGAGTCACAACATAGTACATGTGTTATTCTGTTGCCAGTGTGTGAACGGCTCTGCAGTGCGTTGTTCAACTAGCACTAGCACTGCATGCAACAGTGCCTACCTGTGTATACACCGGTGCTATGGGTTGTCTATTTTCGTATCGTTGACCCGTGTGACGATATCTACAGTGTACTATCTGTTTGGTCACCGACGTTTAGCAACTCACCTTTACGCTTGTATAATGTTCTCTGTTTGTGTGTGCACCTGTAGACAAGGCAATCTCCTTCTGCTCAACAGCGCTCTTGCCAAGCACCAGGTGAGCTTTTTTTGCCCCCGTGCGTGTGTGTGTGTGCGTGTGTGTGCGTGTGTGTGCGTGTGTGTGAAAATAGGGATTCACTGGCCAGAAAAAGTCACTTCAAACAGCTGTGTGGTGGATACCAGGCTAAAAATAGTGGCGGTCAATTCATCAGCCTTGCAAGCTGTTGAATGGTGTAATCCCAGCACAAGTTGCTATGTCTAACATAGCTGTTCGCTATCATCGCTTCCGCGATGGGCATGTCTGAGGTCTGAGGTGTGTGTGTGTGTGTGTGTGCGTGTGTGTTATCCATTTGTGTGCATGCTTATCATGCATACCGTCCACTGGCATTGCATTCAATGACTAAAGTTTGTATTGGATGAGTACGAGTATGGTTGATTATCGCCTGCTAGTATTGGGTGGGGATTGAGAGTGTGTTTGGAAATCTATGGACTCGTGCACACAATATTCATAAGCGCTTGATAGTCCACGGGCCCAAAACCCCGAAGTGATTTTCCTTCCCGTTTGGGGTGTACCAAGGTTTGACAGGTGCAAATGATAAAGTAAGACGAGAGCTATCACATCATGGATTGCACTCGTACTAGTGGTGGTGCTACATTGACTTATGGCCCAGACACTATGTACACAGTGTTGTCATGGCAACCAAGGCTAGATTGGCATTGTAGCAATGTTTCTGGAGGAAAGATCAATTTCTGTAAACTAAAAAAAAGAAAGGACCAATAAGTTACTAGTTATGACTAACAGTCCACCAAGGTGACGAGATCTTATACAGCCAGATAGTGCGACAACAAGGCAAAAAACTGACAAGGCTATTGAGACATTCGACGACCGGACACCTAGCTCCAACACATCTACGAACTAGTAACATTATCTCTAATATAAGCACAGCCTCCCATAATAGCACGTCTCCAATAATAGAACACCTTAGGGCGGCATTCAAAAAATAAAGTGCTCAGTCTCCATTATAAGCACACTGTCTATCGGTACCTGGTAAAATGCATGTACCGTATTATCTCTAAAATGCAGTACCGGCGAAAAAACCCTGAAATGTGTTTGTCTGACATGAATTTGGCATGGCAACATGCCTCTGAAATGAGGTTGAAATAATAATGGAACAGTCTCCAATAAAGGAACGTCTCCATTAATAGCACGGGGCGGAGGTACATTGAAAAAATAAAGGATTGTGCTTATCTCTTAATTTGCTAAATCCTATATATAGGATTTTGGTCATATTTTTCAACTCAAAATGGGTGTGGCATGAGCATAGGGAAATGTATGTGACCAATTCTTCCGCGTTAGGTCTTAGTCGATATGGAGAGTTGAATAAGATACTTTTTTCAAATACTTACATCTAAGGCTCATCTCCTTGCGCAATATTTCTAAGGCCTGTGCCCTATTTTTTGAACCCTATATATAGGATTTGAGATTTTACTGGACCTTGTTTTATCCTTAAAATTGGTAGTTTCACGACGGCATATGCGATATGTCGTCATGAAACCACCCCGTGCCACACCTGTAATGTTCTTTTGCACATTCACTGCTTCAGTCCTTCCCATGACACCAGCTGAACAATGCTGCTCAAAATTCCAATCCTTGCTCAAAATGGGTATTTATGATGTCCTATGAATCTAAAAAGTAAACATTCATGCCTCAAACATATTTACAGCTTCTAATAAAACCATCATGCTCTTATTATGGGTCATGAATGACTCATGATGATCAATAACAACGGCATAAAGGTCACGCATTTTCAAATCCTATATATAGGACGTTTGCCCAGCAAATTAAGAGATATTAGAGATAATACGGTATCAAGAGTACATAACCCCCCCCCCAGAGTGTGCAACGCCGGATCCAGCTCTGCATAGGATGTTGGTCGAGCGGAATCAGATCTTTGCGTCATAATACCGTACACATCTGAGGGGAACCCGGGGAGTCGCGGGCACTCTTGGATCAAAAACAATGGTGCCCTGCCTCGAGACCGGCCTTGCGCTGGTGTGGAGTGTACCAGGTGTACGCATGACATCAGAAGATCCGATTCCGCTCGACCAAGACCCTATGCAGAGCTGGGTCGGCGTTGCACACTCTGGGGGGTTATGTACTCTTAACGGTATTGGTCCTTTCTCTCTTTTTACTTATCATATTGGCTCACCATCCGAGTCTACTGTACACTGCCTAATGTTTGCGACGTATTAATGTTTGCTTATTTTGCGAGAAGAGCAAAATGAAAATATTAAATTAACCATCGTGAAATCAAACTTCAACAGTGGGTGTATGTGTGTGGCCACAGTACTCTGCGAACATTTGCCACCGTAAACTGGTTCTGAGAGATCGCAAAATTGTAGTGACGCAAACATTGGGCGGTTACAGTATTTACTTGCTATGGTAAGATGAGTCCAATGGCTATGCCTTCTCTCACACTGGAGGCTCATTCTGGATAATTTGATAGTGAAAAGCGTAGGCATGTACAATGAGAGAAATACTATGAATATTGGCCTGTACAATACACGGGCAGTGACAATAATTCTGTAGTATACTGTGCAAATGTCAGAGTTCTATACATATCGGGTAGTTACATGAACACAATTCCAGGAATAAAATCAATTGTCATGACAGGATGATTTAAAAACTCTGAAATCTGGCCAAGCACTAAGCGCAGCATACACAGTCGAATACTCTGCTGAGGGGAAAGTCAACAACTGGGCAATAGCCAATAACAGATAGTGGTGGAGGCGGGATGAAGATGTCAGAGCATTAAAAGCTGACCATGCTGGCACTTTCTGGGAGTTTGTTGTCACTTCGGCCGACACGATTGGCTTCGTGATGTCTCCATTGTGGCAGGCCCTTGCCAGCTTCCAGCCAAAATCCACCATTGCCACAGTGTCACTGGGTGAAGGTTGGCTGCTCAGTGTCGCATCTGGCATTGGCGCATATCGAGGCGGATTAACCTTTGACGTGCATGCGATGTCGGCAATCTGCTCCTTTTCATAGCATAATGCCGGTATACGCTTTCTGGGTGGCTGCAGCCCGGGTACTTCACCCTGCTGTGCATGAATAGGCTTGATGTTGTGTTGCAGGCGGGGCTGGACAACAATGGCGTTGGTGCAGTGTGTTGTCTTCTTGCCATCAAGAGTTTCCTCATTTAGGTCATTGTTGTCATGTTGTCGACCACATGAAAGAATGGCAGGCTGCTGTCGAAAACTAAGAAGGCGATCAATATCCTCCTCGCGGCGAACTTTCTCCTCTGCCATGCTTGCTTCATGCTCCAGCGCTTGTGAGTAGGCGATGGAATTGGTCCGAATCTATTCAATTTGGAGACAAGCCTCTCAATCCGCAACAAATGCTGTGCTGGAATGCCAAAGACAACCTGGTTCGGTGGGATGACGCTAGTGCCACATGTCTTGAGCAATAGAGCATATGCGGCGGTTGAAGGGACTGCTCCCGATATCAATTGCGCCCCGTTGTAATGGGACATCGTGGTACATATCACTGCGGAGCCACACAAGGAAAAAGCACGCCCGGAATGCAATCCTTGGCATCACTCAGTGACAGGCCGCTACTCGTCCTCCTTTTCCCCTGGCAAGCAACACACAGTGATCGTGCAGCATGATAGATGGAGCTTAGCTCCTGCTGGTCATGCGTTACTCTTTCTGTGGAATAGCTCACCTCTTCAACAAAGTCCTCATCGCTGTCTGCATTGCAGCCAGTTCTGCTATTGTGGAGCCGTGCAATTATGTCAGCAGCTCTGTCGGCTGCATACACAACTTCGGGTCTATTCCGGGCAGAAGGGCGTGCAAATGTGACCGTGTCATCGAATTTGCTGATTAGCAGTACCTTAGCTTTATCATTCCGAGCACACTCACCAACAGCGCAAGTGTACTGCGAAACAACTGTGTTCATGCTGAGAACATTGCAGTCATTGAAGAGGTTGACTGCCATGTTTTCAACAAAACCAGACAGGCCATCACAATGCTCCATGCTTTCTGACTCTGAGTCTTCGAGTGCTCGTATCAGTGATAGTCGTACTCGTGGCTGATGAGGATTCCTGTAAGAGCTTCCATAGTATAGTCTCTTGTACATAATTCAGATAACAGCACTTGTGGTAAAACAAACGTAAAAACACCTCGCGTGCAATTCGACTACTGTAAATCAACAAATTTTGGCCGGTGAGAAACTTTGGCCGATCTCGAAATGAAACTTTTGGTCGTCATCAAACTTTGGCCAATCGGGGTTTCCGAAAAAGAAATGAGTACATCATGCATCATTTGCCTCTATGACAAACTTTGACCTGCGATTTACTTTGGCCAGTTTGCACCGAGCGGCGAAACCAGCGAAATAATTATATCGAAGTTAAATCGCCAAATTACAGTCCATTCAGAAAAGGATGGACTTCTAGCTTTTGGCCATAAATGGGTCAAACGTTATACAGTCGTCCCTCTCTAATCCGGCACTTGTTTATCCGGAACCCTTGCCAACCGGCGCACTTTCTGACGAAACCGATTTTTTTCGTTCAATTTCTACATCTTAATCCGGCACTTGAATTCCGCCTCCGGCAGTGACCTTTTGAAACGAATCGCTCAAACTGCACGTAGTTTGATTTCATAATCCGGCAGTCGTAAATCGCGTACCATACAGGTGCACTCCTTGCCAGGCCAGGCTAGGCCAGTCTGGTCAGTGCCGCGCGCGCGGGGCGGGGCCACTTCAGAGTTCAGTTCAGTTGACACTGTACTCGACCTCGCGCAGGAGAGTTCAGTTCGGTTGGTTGTTAGGACTTTTCCGAACCCTAACTCAATTTATACAAAGAGAAAGACCAAGGAACTACAAGTTACGCTATACTGTCCACTAACACCACCAGTTACTAAACAATCAGCTCATGCGATAACATTGCACGACACTGACCGACGGTACTGACGATCTACAACTAACTACAACGTTCGACCTGCATGATGTCGACTGCTTGCGTGGCCTTCTCAAGAGGGTCAATGTTGTCCAGGAGACAACGGCTAAGCAGTCAACCATACAAGTACTTTCTTATTTTAGCAAGGAGTAGTGTCCTGCCAATTTCAGGTGTGTGTGCGTGTGTGTGCAAGAGTACATGTGAACATGTTCTCTGTTTTACTTTATCACGTTATCACTGTGTATATTCCTGGAGAACAGTTGAGAATATAAAGCCGTGCACCAAATACTTGGGTCGACATGGAAAAACCCTGCGTTTTGACATATGATACATGCATGCAATTGGGTAGGGCCGGGTCAGAGGGCAGGATTTCTTAATCCAGCACCCTCGTTAATCCAGCAGAAAACGCCGTAGCAAAAGGTGCCGGATTAGAGAGGGACGACTGTACACGCAAAAAATACTCAACAATTGCCCCGAAAAAGAGAAAATGGCCGAAATTGGCAAAAACTAGCAAAATAAGTAGGGATGAAACGATCATCCATTTCTTCTTATCGAGTACCGATTATACGATTGAGTTATCGAGGTACACACGGATCCCGAAGGTGACTAGAAAAAGGTGTGAATTTTGTCACCTTGGATGACTCGCAGTGCTGGGGTTGACTATGCAGCGCAGACAGTGTGACTTAGCTAGTACTATGTATATAATACAACCCAACAGTACGCTTGTACGTGAAATATAAACCGACATACAAACCGAGGCGAAGCCGATGTTTGTATGATGGTTTATATTTCACGTACAAACGTACTTCAGTGCATTTCAAAACTATAGACGCGTAGGGTTTTTGAAATATTTCAAATTTGGCTGGAACTTTTGGAGAATAGTTTTCGGAATATTGCTCAGGATCGCTCCACAATTACTCTCATATAGTTTCTAAAGGATTGGATAACAGACGCCCAATTTGGAAAAATTGATGCACAAAGTGATCACAGATTTTATGTGGTATAGATGCTGGCATAACGGTTTTTGCCTAGGTACGCGTCTATAGTTTTGAAATGGACTGTAGTGGGATGTATTATACTTATGCTGACCTTCATACAAACTGACAGTCAACTTCTTCCTGTTTCTATGGTGGCGGTCTATGTGGGGTTTGTATGGGGTTTGTATGAGGTTTATATGCCCAGTATAAGCCGCCAGCATGATGGGTAAGTTGACTGGAAGTTTGTATGAAAGGTCAGCATAAGCACACATACATCCACAAGTACAAACACTGCATACTCGATAACATCATAACGAGTAGCGATCATAGAGATAACGAATAAGTAATCGGTGTAATCGTTTCATCCCTAAAATAAGGGAAATGAGAGAAAATTAAGGGAAACTGGGTGTGTGACTAAGGGATTTGCTTTGGCTGGGTTGGCAAGTATGCTTTCGATACCCCAAATGTACTATCAGGCAATGTGGAAGCAATATAATGATGCACTGTCGGTTCTTTCCTGACGCTCTGCTCTTGCAGGAATTCTTCATTCGTATGGGAGTGTATCTCATTCTGGAAAAGCTCAAGATCATTATCTATCGCAACCTCTTCAAGAAAGTGTAGGTGCTCGGGGAAATGGCTTTTGTAGGAAGCAAAAATCATTTTGGAGTGCAGAAAAAGAACTAACTTCAGGATCATCACAGGCAGCATTGATTTTTCTTCAGTCTGGTGATTGATCAGGGAAACGTGTGGCAATTTGCTACAATAACCCCATATGCAATAGACACTAGTCACGTTATATTGTGCGCTTCTTGACAGTACTGGAATTTCACACATTTTCGGTGAACTTTTATTTTCGCTACTTTCGGTACGTCCGTTTCATACCTAATATTTCAATACACTGAACAAACACTAACACACATAATACGGTAGGAAACTGCTTCTCTGTACCTAGAATTTCTGTTCACCGAACATGGCCTTTTGTCCTCAAACCGAAAGTATTGAGCACCTAAAATTTCTGAAATTAGAGTATCCCACTGCTCCTTGCTGTCGTGCCAAGTGCACATGCAGATGCATGGTACAGCTATGTGTGCTGGATGAGCATGGTCGGTATGCAGTCTATAGTCATGGTTTGGGCAAGGGGCAACTACTGCAGTACATCATGGGGACATATACAATGTACATGTATACTTTAGTATGAGCTAAAACAAGTGTGTATGGTCTCACTGCAGACTCGCACAACTTGATGCTGTTGCTTTCATCACTGTAAACGCACGTAGTGGAATTACTCCTTGATTACCAACGTATAGTTTATTCAATATCTTCTCTTTCTGTGTCTCCTGTGTTTGATTTGTCTGCAGCTACACCATACTGAACACGCACCAGATACCGATTGCATCTCTGCTGGCAGCGTTGCGTATGATGCAACTTGACGGTGTGGATCCCGACGAGACGCAGTGCATTGTAGCAAACCTGGTGGATAAAGTAAGTTTGTGCAGTTTGTACTGGAGGGTATCTGGAGTCGGGACACCTACTTGAGAATCGTGTTTCTATTATGGTCTTGGCTGCTTCAATTTTGCATCCTGTGTCAAGTTTAGTTTGAGGATCTTTTCTACTCTGTCTCAACACTCAACATGCAGGCATAGAGGTTTCAAAACATTGAACTTTCGGGCAATCTGGTTCAGCTTCTCAGCACACATCAGCGTTTCCCCAGAGGAGCCAGCGATTATTTCAACAAAATATGCCGCATGATCTCTTTCTCCATTCTTTGGACGAACAAGTACTTCGGCATCGTGATAAGGACAAAGAGTCACAGAAGAAGAAAAAGAAAGGGCAAAACTTTGGTTGTTCACGCGAAAGAGATGTTGAGGCATGCACATGCTGTCACTTCGAAGTCACAGCCTCCACTTTATACTGCCTGAGCTGCCTGAGCTGCCTGAGCTGCCTGAGTAATTAAATAGTTTGTCTGTATGAATTCTCATAGTTCTCATAGTTCGTACCTCCTTTGTGCTGCTAGTCTTTGCTGACTGTCTTTCCGTGCACACGTGTGCGCATGCGCGCACGCGTGTGTGTATGGTGTGTGTGTGTGTGGTGTGTTTGTCCGTTATCCGCAGGGTTACATTCGCGGCTACATATCGTTCCAGCATCAGAAGCTGGTGGTCAGCAAGAAGGATCCATTCCCCAACATTTCCACACTGCTTGCAGCAAATGCGTAGGAGCAGGAGTAATTTTGTTTTGGTTGACTCGCGCATTCTGGCCACTAGCCATGTAGATGCCATCATAGTATGAAGTGACTCCCTGCCTGCTTTTCTCAGCCTGCCAAGCTGCCAGAAAGATGCCTGTATGTATATGTATGTATGTACACGCCAAGCTCCTGCCTATCCACCCGTTGATCACTTCACACATATTTAGCCGTGCTTAAATTGTGATTTTGCACATCGAGTGAAACTTTTGTATATATCTTTTTGTACATAGTCCATGATAATAATTATGTTAAAAAGCTGACTATAAATATCAGTTGCATGGGGAATTTCACAATACATCATGATGTTGTTCATTGCTTGTACAGTGTTTTTGATTTTGTTTTGTTAGCATCAATTTTTGATTATCGAAGTATCTGTGTGTTAAGTGTATGTTGACGAGAGAGAAGAAAGTCGTGTTATATTCGTGTGTTTTTGTCAACTTGTCACTTGTGTTCTCTGAAAGCTGGATTTGTAAACAGTTGTTTCAGAGTAAACACTTTAAATTCTGCAACAAGGACCAATAAGGAATGCTTTCGGCACAATTCTTCCTCCTCGCTGCAATAATTGATTACCCTAGTTAATTAAATACGGGGGTTGAAGGTGAATATTTAATATATTTGCTAGTCATCAAATTGATAAATGAAGCAGAAATGGGGGTGAACACTCCGCTACAGTTCTTCTTGATGTAGATTTTGCTGTGGTTGTTGTCTGGACATGGCTGCTTGGAGAGTAACTTTCTCCTCTCTGTGGTAGAAAGGGTCTGGACAGGACTAGTATGTTCCATGTCACGTTTCTATGACCACTGTTTCCGTGGCCACTGTTTCCATGGCCACTGTTTCCACGGCGAATGCTGCTGGCGTGCTAGCCACAGTTGTTAACACCTCTGGCGGTGGCGAACGGTCGCGCAAGAACACATCAATGTGACGCTTGTGGCTGAATGGGTGTGGATGAATTCCAGCTCTCACCTGGACAGACAAGCAGCAATAGGAAACAGCAATCAGTTACACAGCCTTTGCTTGTGATTTATCACTACCATAATTATTTCTCCATATTAATCACACCTTTAAGAATCAACCGAAAACAGACATGAATGTAACCTTTTCACTCACAGATACGTGAAGTCAAGAGCTGTTCTTCTTCTGAATGTTCTTCTTTTTAACCTTTTGCGCCCGGGCCCACTGAAAACCTCTGCCACGCAGTAAAAAAAATTTAATTCACTCTATGTGAGCAAACTTGATTTCAAACGATTCTTTCATGTATCCTGAGCACAGAACTGTTTTTGTTTTGCAAATACAAGATTACAACAGTTATGACAGTTTTCAGAAAGGTAGTTTTACGCGAAATTGGTATTTTGAAATGCATGCACGCGCATGTAACTCCAGTTCAAACTTACGGAGCGACTCTCATATTTTTACGGTACGCGTACATCCTAGGAGTCCTCTGTGCAGCGGTACAGCTCGACGCCACGCCACGGAAGAAACGCGGGATCGATGTAGTTCCGCACTGACTCGTGACGTTCTAGAACGTCACGCGTGTCACAGTGGCACTGGTCATGACGTGTCAGAACGTCACGCGTGCTCAAAAGGTTAATATATTATTATTTCCGCGAGAGCGAGGGCGCCCCACCACCTCATCATTTTGTGGTCGTATTGCCACTTCTTTGTGGAGGTGGTCTGCTGTCTGAAGGTCATATGACACCGACCTTGTGCACAGGTCGCACGCTGTGCACTCAATCCGTACCTTCAAGGACGCGAGCTCCACGTAAAAAAAACCTGCTAAGTGTGAGCTTAGTACACTGAGATTCTCACACCGTAGAGACTTCATTGCACTCTGCCATACGATTTTCCTTTCCCTGGCTGTAAAATCAAGGTGGGGCGCTTTGGCGGTACTTTACGGTATAATCAACTTCACAGCTGAACAAAAAGATATCACTATCATGTGTGACACACTGCTCAAGTGAATAATTATAGGGCTTGGAAGTGCTTTAAGTCACTCCCCACGACAGAATTGTGACAACGCGGACTTTTGGATCCACCTGGATCCAGATTTTGTATGGATCCAGAACACGTCTGGGTGCTTTCGTCCGTGCTAGGGTGACACGTGCACTGGTACTCGTACTGTGCTAGTGAATAGGCTGGTCGCCAGTCCGGCTGGCCAGTATAATGTAAATCGACAAATTTTCGGCCCCTTCAAACTTCGGCCTTCCAGGGCTAAAACACATTTCGGCTGCAACAATTTTTAGGCCTGTACTGCTGCTGCCTGTATACACTGTCACACTGAACTTCTCGGCCAAATATGATCAGGCCGAAAAATAGGCGAAAATAAATATACGCCGAGTATTTGTTGACTTACAGTACCGGAAATAAGAAGTCACACCGGCGTGCAGCGCGGACCAACCCAAGAAGTCACACCGGCGTGCAGCGCGGACCAACCCAAGAAGTCACACCGGCGTGCAGCGCGGACCAACCCAAGAAGTCACACCGGCGTGCAGCGCGGACCAACCCAAGAAGTCACACCGGCGTGCAGCGCGGACCAACCCAAGAAGTCACACCGGCGTGCAGCGCGGACCAACCCAAGAAGTCACACCGGCGTGCAGCGCGGACCAACCCAAGAAGTCACACCGGCGTGCAGCGCGGACCAACCCAAGAAGTCACACCGGCGTGCAGCGCGGACCAACCCAAGAAGTCACACCGGCGTGCAGCGCGGACCAACCCAAGAAGTCACACCGGCGTGCAGCGCGGACCAACCCAAGAAGTCACACCGGCGTGCAGCGCGGACCAACCCAAGAAGTCACACCGGCGTGCAGCGCGGACCAACCCAAGAAGTCACACCAGCGTGCAGCGCGGACCAACCCACCAGATACCACGGTCGGAATGGATCCAATTCGATCCAGGGGTGGCTATTTATCGACTACCGAAAAGATAGTGACCTGGAAGGGGGGGGGGGCTGATGATCTGTTAACCCCTTGAGGGCGGATGACGTACTAGTACGTCATAACACCCACACAGTGCCCCACGGATGACGTACTAGTACGTCATGCGCTTATATACAAACTAACGGCCCGTATCTTCAGTCTTCAGGTCTGTTAGCCGATTGGTAGTGTCTATGCCTTGTGTACGAGAGGTACCGGGTTCAGTTCCCAGCTGTCAATGTACAGCGATCAGTACAGTTCTTTTTTTCTCCTTTTTTACGCGCGCATACCACGCAATTGGTGCAATTTCTCAAAAATCGACCTGAGTATGCCGCTCGGCCTGGCGTGCCTTGGCCGATTTTCGCTTTTGTTCTTGTTGTCGAGTGCTGGTCTGGGTCCTACCTACTACTGGCTGTGGTTGTGGCTCCCAAAGATTTCACGACTTGACATAGCCAAGGTTTGAAAATTTTCAAAAAAGACCATTTTTCTTACGTGGTGCAGTGACAAACAGCCCCGCGCTCAAGGGGTTTAAATTTGCTAGAATGGTGTGCCCCACACTGCCTACTCTTGAACAAGGCAATGTAATAAAATTAAAAAATGTCAACTTGGCTACGACTTACTGTGACTTTGTAGTGATGCTGCACTTGCAGTTTGGTGACAATCAGCGATGTCATACCCTGGCAGAATAGAAACACATAGTGCACAGCGATGTTATACCCTGGCAGAATAGAAACACACAGTGCACAGCAGCTCGATAGAAAGATATTTCTTGGAGACAAAACCTGCAATGGGAGCTGTGCATACTCTTCTCGTCATGTGGGGGAAAAGTCCCCATATTTCTTGGAGGCAAAACCTGCAATGGGGGAGCTGTGCATAGTCTTCTCGCCAATTTTGATCACGTGGGGGGAAAGTCCCCTACACAGGTACAGGTACAAGTGCAGTAGAGCTAACTGTGTCTGCCAAGTATAGGGCCAGCTGCATATCCAAAGACAAGTGATGCCCCTTTTTAGGCATGGTTACACCCAGGGACGCTATCACCTTCGCACTTCAAAAGAGTTTGACATATGAATGTTTTGTCCTGCAAGGCATGGAAAAGACCTGCTGCCCAGCCACATACATGTACCGACCTTGTGGCTCTTGCTTGCATGGTACACTGATGGAGTTCTCTTAGCTGTGACTGCATCGCTAAGTACGAGGCAGTGAGGCAGTTGCAGTGCAAAATGGAGAAGGCTTCAACTGAGCTAGTACTAGTAGCTATACTTCAAGTCAAGCGACGTCAGTCAGACCTGTGCTTCAAGGAAGCAGCTTTGATCAGGTTGCCTTGCATGACGGCTCCTGAAAGGAAACACTAAGCAACCGATCAGCTGACTACTTACTGCGCTGGTTGTAAACGTCCTGCTCTCAGTCACATCACACGTAACACACTGAAGGTGAACCGTGAAGCCAGTGATGGCGGGCAGTGCCGTGACATGCGGACGTTTCCGGTGTTGCCACGAGACTCGCACTGCAGTGGAGTTGACCGGTTCTGTTCGCAGGTTACGCACCGGCAATGGCAAGCCTGTTGCAAACATGTAAACGTGCACGCACGCGCGCCGCACGCGCGCACACCCACATGCACACACGCGCGCACACATGCACACACACACGTGCACGCACGCACACACACACACACACACAGAACATCTGTATAGTTGTACACAACATGTACATCGGCAACGAACGTTTCAACAGATATAGAGAACGTGTACTTCACACTCTTGATAAAAAGCACTTCACATCTCTTTCTTCATTTGTTTGAGGGAAAGATGCAAAAGGGAAAAGTCCAAGAAAAATCGACTGTCACCAACAGGACTCGAACCAGGGACCCACTCGCCTGAGGAGTGAGAGACATGTCTTTCTTCGTTTCATTTCTGGCTCTTTCCACACGATGAGAAGGCAGTGGCAGTTCATGTAAGCTGCATCTGGGCTATTATCCTTGAGGGTGGTGGCGCTCCCACGGATGCGGGAAATTCAGTCGAACCGAGACTCGGGCAAACCGTGAATTTTTCGTTAACTATTAGTCACTGCTTTTTTTCTAGTCAGAGACAAGAAGGCAATTATCAAAACATACATAACCAATTGACAACAAATGGACACCCGCCCCGGGATCACGTTGACAAAACATTTTTCTCCAGAATTCAGTGACTACTTCTGGTAGCTGTTAAGAGAATGAACGAAGCAGAGCATGGTAGCAGGAGATAAACTACTATAGGGATCAGAGCAGAAGCAAAGCGGGAGCGAGTGAAACGGTGCAAAGAACAGCACGTGGCGGTGGCCTTGCTCCTCTTTGCAGTGTATCCCTGTGATTGTGAATACAGAGCGTGCTGTTCTTCGTGCCATTTTGCTAGCTCACACCTTGCTGCTGCTTTGCCACCTGCAGTACCTTCATAGTCTGCTACCGTGAGCTTCTCCACTTCTCTTTATCCGACTACCAGAAGTACTGAGTCACTGATGAATTCTGGAGTAAATGCTTGGTTGTGGATTGGTTACAGTGTGTCTTCGTTATTTGTTATTTGTTTTGTTAATAGTAAGCTGTTGACCTTCATACGCCATATCAGAATACAAAATGCATGCAATTGAGTGTTACTATTACTTATTAGGTTGTTTCCCTCCACAGTCCCGTTACTTTATCACAAAATGCCAGTCACATGTACTAGTAGTTAGTATCGGTACTTACGACATATCTGGTACCGCTTCTGTTGCTGGCAAAATTTTGGCCGGCAGTCCAGACTAGCGCAGGCTGCAGGGTCGTTGTGAAAATTGCAGAACAATGACAGAAAGTACAGCACAGGCATCAGGTTAGTCCGTTTTTAACGGTGGCTCTCATTGTTGCTGCTACCAGGCACGGGGTGTCAAGACATATACTGCTTCGTCTTGTGACAATTTGACTCCGGATTGCTCTTTAATAACAGCAATATTAATCTGTCATACTCCAAGAAAATTCCAAAAAAATCCCAAGGCCTTGTCAGTGATGAACCAGATATTATTCGCAATACACACACAGGAGAACACGAGAAATGTGAAAACCCTTAGGCAATAGAAATATGAATGATTAGAGAGAGTTATAGTTTCACACAAAATTATCCTCAGGCAACATTTCTCGATCAGGGCACTAGCCAAGACTGTCTCCGTTACAAGCGTGTCCTTCAGACGTTTGGTGTTCAGGAGTACAAATTTGTACTCCAGGGTGCAGTCACCTTGAGCAACACAGCTTATGGAGCTTGAGTGCGGTATTACAAAGGATGCTTTCAGCTGTGGCTGCAGCAACTATGGCTTCAAGTACCCAGAAGCATGCAATGCAGAAAATGGTGGCAGACATCACCACACCGTGGCATAAACCATACCAGTACAGATATTTCTGCACCCCAAGTGAAATAATAACATTACTAATGGTACGTTACATGACTAGGTTCGCCGCAAGACGCTACTCACATGGAATTGTGAACGACACAGCCGTCGTCTTGGTAACTGCACCAAACGATTTTATCTGAGCGCACAGATGCAGTCAGACGACAGACGACAGGGGACAAAATGTTGATAATAGTGATACCAAGATGGCAAGATCAGACGCAGGAGTGTAAGTAGGAGCACATGCGCGACAGGGGGGGGGGGGGGGGGTGCTGATTACACATCGGCAGTCCTACATCATATGCAATGAAAGCTATTGCCTCGCCTCAGTTTCTACAACTGACGCTCTTCATAATTATGTTGCTTTTTGACTGGTGCACAAGCTTTGGTGTGAAAATTGACAGATTATTGGCAGAACTAAGTCCATATCAAGTCAAGCTACTCCTTAGGTTGATAGCATTATTGTTTGTACCTGATAACGGCCAAGAGGCGCAACATTGTTACTTGAAGTAGACAAATAAGTTGTTCAGATTTGAATCCTCTATTTATTTATTCCACTTCGACAGCATAGTTATGGTTGAACTGAAAGGGGGAGAGGGTACTGCAAAACGGCAAATTTTAGCGACGGTGATATTTTAGCGACTTCAGCGAAAGGAGTGTTTTCGCCAAAGTTTTGCCGCGCCAATCGAAAATGTGCACGTACAGTACAGTACAGTCATTCTTTAAAGTCTCAAACTCGGATCGCTAAAACATTTCATATTGAATTGGTCCAGATTCAGAAAACGCTAAATTTTTTACCCGCTAAAATTAGCCGTTCTACAGAGTTACTTAAAAGCCAACCACGTCTGGAATCACAAGGTTTTGGAGTGGATGTTTCCACCCGGCCTGTATTCTGGTATGAATCAGTGTGAATACAGTACAAAGACACACATCAGCTCCTACAGCCAGGCAGTACCTCTACTAGTCGTTTTACGTCCACCATTGTGGAGTAGGCAGGATAAAGACAGCCATTCAGCCAGCGCTGCTTCTGACTAATGCTTCTGATGTCTGCCTCGGTTGCAGAGGATCGAGCGTGAAGAGAATGAACCCCCTGAACATAATATTATTACATACATACACACACACACACACACACACGTGCACAAACAAGTGCACACACACATGGGAGAACATACCGTATCAGCACGTCTTTCTTGAGCCAGGGCAAAGAGGAACCTGTTGGTGCGCTGGAATATACATGTTGCACTGCACCAGCCTGCTGTTGTTCCAGCCATGTGTTCGCTGCCTTTCGTAGGTGCAGGGCATGGGCTGACAGATATGGAATGCTCAGGTGCTAGGCTATTCCGTCAGCTATATATTTATAGCAGTGCTTCAATACATGTATATCGGACCAAAACCTGGCAAGCCTAATAGATAGCCGGGATCCGTGACAAGCTATGCCCTCACATGAATTGAGCTTGGATTGTGGCCACAACACGCACCATGTGAGCAATGCACATGTTGCGTTTCCTACAGCCAAGACTCCCTTATGCATCCCACCTCTGTAATGTGACCATGAAAGGTCCAGCTGGTGGGACGTTCTCACGCTACTCGACGGTATAGTCTACACTGCTTCCAAGCTGGGTAAGTAGGCAGTCTGCTGTAGATTCATATGCGGCTTACCGTCGGAACACGGAAACATGAACAACGGCCATAGCCTCCATAGGCTGGTATCTTGATGGCAATGAGGTAGCCGGCATGCGATGTATCTGGAGAGAGAGAGAGAGAGAGAGAGAGAGAGAGAGAGAGAGAGAGAGAGAGAGAGAGAGAGAGAGAGAGAGAGAGAGAGAGAGAGAGAGAAAAGAGAGAGGGAGAGAAAAGAGAGAGGGAGAGAAAAGAGAGAGGGAGAGAAAAGAGGGAGATAGATAGATAGATAGATAGATAGATAGAGAGAGAGAGAGAGAGAGAGAGAGTGAGAGAGGGGGGGGGGGGGAAGAGAGTGGATGAGCAACAAAAGGGCATGCACATATTGAAAGAGAACAATGAGCGAGGAAAGGCCTACCAAGCGCAGTACATGCAGCATGACCGTATGCACCAGTCAGTAACTTGCACTGAATACAAAACCTACCCTCGTCTGCAATGTCCCTTGCCCAGCTAGACCAGTTTAACGAGACACCAAGCTCGCCGCCAACAGGATAAAAATCTACGGTGGGAGCATGCTTGTCATCATCGACTTCTTCCGACGGCGACAGCCATTTCAAATCCAAATCTCGCCCCGTGCACCAAGGAGCTGAGAGAATGGAGAACAATCACGAACAAGTGAATGAGATACAAACCATGAACAAGTGTCAGCGTCGTTACATCACATGTTCACCATCATACGTAGTGTTTTAAAATAGACGACACTTTTACGATCTGTGGGAGCACCGGATGAACTTCGGAAGCCCAATAACCTGATCTTCCCAGGGGACCGAGAGCTATCTGTAAGAGAAATTATACACACACGCCTGCATACATTTACAAACATGGCCGTGCCCCGACTGACTGAGCCCGTAAAACAGGACAGGGAAGCGGATCAGTCACACAGCAGCAAAACAGACTTCCATCAGGATTATTACGTCAATTAGTGCCGGATGATGAGCAATGAATTCAGGCAACAGGAATGGCTAGTGGACTTAGTGGGAAACTAGCAGATGGGCCAATGGAAACCAACTCAGGACCTGTCACTATGTAATGGCCCTGATAATAGAGAAAGAAGATAAACAAGACGCCTGAACCAAGTGTTTCATGATTACTGGCAACCGCCACAGAATCACCCAGTGTGTGACACAGACACAGATACACAATGGTGTGTGACACACAGATACACAATGGTGTGTGACACACAGATACACATCCCAGGAGAGCACACATACACTCTACAAATGCTGCAATACTGTACAGCGCGCGATCCCTGGTCTAGCGTTTCACCCCAATCCCGGCCTCAGGCTCAGGCGGACCGTCATTCAAGGATCGTCTTCACGAAGCTCAGCCTATCTAGCCAGCACAGCGACGCCTAACTTCCCCAAAGACTAAGGTCTTTCTTCCGCTTACTGAGTGTACGGACGCTTGGTGGCTTCACACTGACCGATTCAATAGTGAGCAACTTGGCCACCTGGATTGGACACGAAACGAGAGAACAAAGGTCATTGACTTACTAGTACGCTGATTTCCTCAAAGGGCAACCAAGACTTATCACTCATTTCAAAATGTATTCTGCAGCAAGCCGGAGAACATAATAATCGTTACAGTCTCGATCGTGGGAGCTGTGAAGTAACATACGGCGGTATGGCGACATTCCACTATTACGAGTTTAGCCACAAACAAGACAACACGCTACGTGTAATTCGTAGTGGTGTCCACATTGCGCTCACGGTAAATCCTCGCACACTTCGATTCTTGACTACCTTTTTCCTGGAATGTGTCTCCCAGCACTACGGCAGCAGTAACAAACGTTTCTGTTCGTCACAAGCTCAAGGCTGTTACCTTCTTTCAAGTAATCAGATATTCATGATTATTGCAGCGGAGAACTTTCGTTCTTTCGATGACGAAGTTCCTGCGTTCCATTAGCGGACGTGTGAGAGCAGGGGCGGCACAGTAGATCTACTCTGATAGCGTTGTACAGGAGTTGAAGACAGAGTTCCAAGTGACCAACCCGAAAGTGCGCCGGGCGTGCACAGATATGCGACGAACTCTGGAACGTGAGATACCGCATTACCGGTAGTAATTGTCTGTCATCACTAGTGTACTGTCTGTGTTCACATAATCATTCATTCCGAAGTCTGTGCGCTCTATCGACCAACTGTTTGAGTGACGACGTTTGCCTTCGACGATCGATGCAAGGAGCTCCTGTGTTCGTTTGCCGGGTTCAACTGGGACTGCACTGAAGCATTGACGCTGTCTTTGGAGTTCGTCATTCTGCCACACCAAATGCCTGTCGGGCAAACTATTTTGGCTTGAAAACAAAGAGAATGCAAAAGGGGGGCAACGCAGCTGCTCGCACAAGTAGATCCTTTGAATGAGTCTGGAAGATGCCTTTTCTGAGATGCAGCACGAATAGGTCTACTTCTGACTTTCCAGCACTTGCGACAGCAAGTCAACAGCGGAGGCTCGGCTAATGGTATGCGAACATAGACTGTCAGTGTTGTTATCATAATAATATGCAGTGGCCGCAAAGAAACACATACCGGTACAGGCGAGATCTACAGACCAGACTAGATAATAGTCATGTCGGCGGTTGAGCTGGGCTTGGTGGAATATCGAATCTGACCTCGCCGCATCGGTGTGAATCCGGCTCCGTGGGATTCTTGGGACTGGAGTCGCACTCATAGCATCTGACACTATAGTACTAGACATGGAGAGGCTGGATTTCACCAAGTATCACTGCTGTAGTACACTAGTGCCAGTACACTTGGCGTGGAAGTGTACACTAGTGCCAGTGTACACTTCCACGCCAAGTCTCCCACGTGATCTTCTTCGTGAACTACACCGTACACGCACTGCACAGACAGTCCACTGACTCAGTCTGTTGCCACATCGTTACCTGGTTACTGACTTTTGCGAGTCCAGCAAACAAGAAAGGACCGACTCTGCGGTTCCTAGCCATCATGGTATCAACCTAAACAAATTTCAAGGGCACTCAAGCAGCTGAAACCCCTCTATGCCAGACGATGGTAACCTTTTCTATTAGCAAGAAATACCGTAATGCCTACTACTAATGGGCCAATCACTATCCAGAATTATTGACTTGAATCAGATACAGTATTTGGAGCAATGATTACGATTGTTGTCATGATGCGCACAAGAACTCAACAGCCCAGTGCGTGATATTGACTGCTTGTAGTCACCTGGCCAGCAGCATGGCACTAAAGAAACTGATATTCTGGCACGCCGTGAGCAAGGTGTCACTCCTGTGCCTGTGGACTGGACCGACAGTGGACGAGCTCACGCAGAGCGAGTCTCAGAAACCGCACTGTCCCTGACAATGATGGCAAGGATGACTGCGAGTAAGATCTACGAGGGGGTGAGAGGGTCTCAGCTAAGAAGAAGCAGCAGACGAACGGCAGACATGTACATTCCTATTCCGTTGCGAGTCGCGACCAGTGAGTAGAACACGGTCGGGGAGCAGTGACAATGCAGTAACGAGCGCCAAACAATGTTCCAGCATCGCTGCAGCCAGTTACACCTGCGTGCTGACATCGTCGCAACCAGTTGCCTGGTCACACTTGCATGCGAGAGCATTGTGGTGTGCGGGGGACTTAGGTTCAGGAGCGCGCATGCACGCACACCTACATTTAAATACAAGACAGAACAAGATTTTGGCACACCAAATGGCTCTCACACCGCGCACTTGAACAGATGGGGAAAGGCAAGACCTTCAGGCAAGACCTGCACACACATTCTACGGCTCTTCCTCGACACGGTTCTGAAACTAGTCCCGAGTCGAGATTATCAAAACACATCATTCTACGGTTTTTGGCTACTTTTTGCTTAACCCTGAGTCGAGGTAATCAAACACATTCGGTCAGAATAGCACGAGCCTACGAATAGGGAATTGAAATACAAAGTGAACGCACGAGCTGACACTTACCAACAGCAGACAGCATATGCACGCGCGGGTGAAGATACTACAGTCCATGATACACGTCGGAGAGAAGACCTTCATGCAAGGCGACGTCTTCAGCAGGACAGTGGAACATACACTAGAAACGACCGAGCTGGGGACCCCAACGCTACTGGAAGCTCTGACCGGAGCACACGTGTGGCACACGGAGCTTTCATTCATGAGCTTGGAATGTCTCGTTCAATAAAGCCTAGAGAAAGAAAAGTACAGTCGCATCACACAAAGCGTAAGAACACGAGTTCGTCTCATCGTCTATGTTTTGGGAATGTTGAACACCACAACTTCACAAGTGTCTTCAACTGTACCTTGGAAGTTCCTGGTGAAACTGTGGGGAATGAAAGCCTGCTTGACCCTTTTATGCCCTCTGGAATGTACACTTTGACATGGTTGGGACTAGATTCACGCCCTGTATCCGCCTTTGCAGCTGCGGCGTCGTAATTAGACCGTGGCTAGCGGAGCGGCCTACCTGCGATCGTCGAAGCCTGCTGAAGTTAGTGTTCCATGCCTGTAGTGCCAACGATCCGTCTGCTGATTGCAGAGGCAATCCCACATTGCAGGATCTAGGAACGAAGACTCATACATGCACGTACATAATTGTAAACCTCTTGTGCTACTGGCACGTGCCACACCACTCCGTGATAAGGTGCACTGTCCTAGACGGAATTCTCGGCACTGTTTGCAACCATGACTTGCACAGGCCATACGGGCGACTACGGGTAGACAATTTCATTACGGTTCTCGGACCTATCCCATCCATATTGCATTACATACACTGCACAGTGTCTCCCTCCTGGCGTGATTGCTTCTACTTTGAAGTACATCTCGGATCTCGGACACACACCCCATGGCAACAGCAAGTCACTGTGAGAATGAATGACTGAGTTGTGTGATGCAGGGGGCATGAAGACCCTAGTTAGCAAATCGGCGAAATGGCATGTACATGACCGTACATCATCAAACCGTCATTGCGTGCAGCAAGACAATGTGTCACTGAGTCTGTCATGTTGGATCAGTTTCGCGAAAATCGCCGCGGAGGTAGCGTCATATTGCCAACCGCAATGGTTCGTATTCGGGTGTTAGTGTTAGGGTACAATATAGTCACCTGACGAATACCACACCGCACCGCTTACCGGCAAAATCTGCAGCGATTTCGAATCAACACTGGAAAGACATTAAGGCTAAAATCTGACATCAAGAAAATTGAATTTCTGTGGATCGCAAATCAGTGACGCTCTGGCAGCTTTTCGGAGATCATGGGCTGATCGTCTACTACATTAGGGAAGAAGATATCTGTGTGTCTGTGCAAAAGAGAAGAAAGGAAGAACTAACAAATTGGGTTGGAGTTCGCCTGAAAGAGGCGGGCAATCATAGACCGTACAGACTTGTTGTCTTGTTTAGAATGGTAATCAGTAACGAAGTAACGATAGCCGACTGTATGCCTGTCTAGGGAATCTACCAAGCCGATGATTGAAATCAATCGTTCTGCGTCTGCAATGTAGCTCGGAGTCGGCAGATTATCGGCAGATTAGCGATGCAGCTCATTGTGCTTTTCCTTTTTGAGTTTATCAGTGTATTTGTTGTACATCTACGTCGCTGATCTTCTTAGCTAACCGACTCACGATGCCGCCACTAGGTCTCAGTCGGTCTGATGGGTAGGCAGAACAAACCGGGAAGGAGTCTACTAGGATTTAGACGCTGTTTCGAACACGATCGTCTGCATAGTGACAGGGACTGCTCAACGCTTCAGGTGCATATCTCATGTCTCATGTAATTGAGTTGAGTTCTCACGGTCGCTCTACGTGTAGTGCTTGCGGCATTGGTATGCATATCACCCTCGGTTCGAGCTACTCAAGATACCAGGTAGTGTTTCAGAGTCCTGATGAGGCCATCTGGGCATGTGTGCTGCCAATGCCGGGCTCAATCAGAGTAGCACAGTGTGCGGTTCGTTGCCACGTAGGCCGTAGGGGTCTACGTACAGCTGTAATGCTAAAGCATGACCTTTTCCGCGAGTACCAGGATTGCTGGAAATGTGCATTATCAATCTTGCCTTACACCACACACCTTTTAATACTCGGTCGCGGTCAAGCATGTTATCCTTCGGTGTTTATATTAAAATGCTAGCCAGCGATAACAGTCTACTAATGAGAGGAACGTGGTAGAGACCGGTGACGTCAAACTTACCCAACGGAACGCAAACGAACATTCCGGATAATACCTTTGGCAGAATCTACAAGGCAGACCGCATCATTTGCGCTGTTATAGGAGGCTGATGGGAATGCACCTATTAATGTAAACCAAAGTGAGATGCTCTTCGACTTTGGGGGTGTCGGGAAATGAAAACCAGATATATTGGATGAGCTGCACTACGAACAAGAGTTGAGGTCCTATCAGATTGGCACGGAGTTCTTGCAGATTAGTAGAAGATAAATCGGAGAAAATTGTGTGGAAAGAGAGACTCAGTCACGGGTACTTTCATCTTGCGCGTATTTCCTATCGTTTAGTCAGCTCATAGTGCCATATCCAACTCAAATATACTACATGTCATGTACTTTGAAGTAAAATGTAATCAAGTAGCGTGCTCCACTGCTCAAAGAGTGCTCAATACAGTACCCATGGGACAGAGCCTTCCACGCACAGAAAGAGAGAGAGAGACTGGAGAGACTGGAGAGAGAGAGAGAGACTGGAGAGAGAGAGAGAGAGAGAGAGAGAGAGAGAGAGAGAGAGAGAGAGAGAGAGAGAGAGAGAGAGAGAGAGAGAGAGAGAGAGAGAGAGAGAGAGAGAGAGAGAGAGAGAGAGAGAGAGAGAGAGAGAGAGAGAGAGAGAGAGAGAGAGAGAGAGAGAGAGAGAGAGAGAGAGAGAGGAAGCTGTGTTGCAACTCTGAGTTCGACCCCTGAACAATAGCCCTCAATCTTTTATGCCCTGCTGCTCCGAACACGACAGCTAGAAAGAAGGTCATGACACTTGCAGACTATTGTCTGTCATCCAGTCTAGACTTAGTAGTACTAGTAGTGATGTGTGTTGCTCTTGTCCCTTCAACAGGTATAAACTAATAGTATAGAGCAGTTGATTCCTGGGCGTGATGAGTGGGTTGTTGTTTCATGTACTATTGAGCCACGGCAGAATCAAGCAAATGCAAGGACTGGATGGATTGATGGCTATTGTCAGATGTTTCGCCAGCTGTTCACGCTGCGCAGATGGTCTAACAGGTCTGTTGAGGCATCAGGTCTTGCATGTCAATTGTCATGTTTTCAAAGTATTTACATGATTGTGTGCAGTTCAGCCATTGATCGGCGGCTTTTTTCCATTCATTCTCCAACGCATTACTCGTGGTGGTGTCTGGCACCAATTACCAAGCATCCGTGAATGTCAGGCAATCTGGGGTCCAGTGCAATGCCACAGGGGTCACAGCTATAAAGACTAGTAGATGCGTATTTCTGTCTTGGCATTATGATGAGTGTGACAAAGAGACGCCTTGACCCAACGTGACATACCATACCAATGATTATGTACATGATATACCATACGATACCCGGTCAATCACTAAGCAGTGACTTTTATACTGCTCATTACAGCAAAACCAATACTGTAGGACTTAGAAGGTGCCCCTTCGGGATCATGTAAACCTGGGGTCAAAAAGAATTTGAAAATCCCTGAGGTGATCATAACCGCCTCGGAATAATATAGCTGAGTACGAACTAATGGAATTCAATCCACACTGTAGCGAGATCGATAACACACGCAAAGACCTGTAAAAGCCGCTAGTACATGCAATCACCCCCACCACAAGCACCACCACTACGGTTTCAGATGGTGACTGTATCGAATTCCGATAGAATGTACACAAGCTCCAAAGTTCCTATTCATTCTCATATTGGACAAGTGTCATCACGAGACTATCAATATTCTGGCGTACCGACACGCTGCTCGCGCTGGAGATAAATTCATCCGTTTTTCTCTGGAAATGACGGCTAATGATTATGTTGAATGCGTGGGATAACACATTTCTTTGGAACTCTGACTCTAAAGAAGCGTCTGCGTTTCAGGTGTAAACACAGCCGTCTCTCATGTGTCGCTCACTGTCTATCTTCGGTTCTGTATAAAGTATCAATGACCGATACTGTACAACATATACGTGATGTTTTGCCCGCCAGTCATCACCGGGGCCGGGGAGAGAGAGAGAGAGAGAGAGAGAGAGAGAGAGAGAGAGAGAGAGAGAGAGAGAGAGAGAGAGAGGGGGGGGGGTGTTTTCAGCCGGTCACAACTTCTGCCGGGGCTCAGCCGCAGTTGGCGGTCGGATTTGAATGGGGAGTTTCAACATACATCTCGCTTGTAGGCCATGTTACAACACTGGACAAAGAACAATATTGAAATGTTGACGTCCTAAAAAAGGATACCTGAATGCTGCACATGTAGTACTAGCAGTGCACGAGAATCGAGAGAGAGAGATGATGTGGTGCTTGTCTCAAGAGCTGGAAGCGCGACGGCGCCGACGGGACAGCAGCAATGAAGCTACCGTGTAGAATGGAACACACGTGCAGCACATAGTTTGTGCTGACTCTACGCGTGTATATCGACGACAACCAGTTTCCAGGAAAGATGCTGACGGGATGTGAAGAGTCGGAGCCGAGGAGGTGCCAGCCTTACAGTTAGTACGGGGATCAAGACAACCGAATTCTGGTAAAAAGGAGCAGAAAGCGTCCGCGATATTACAACGAAGAGGTGTTTACTTGTCGGCTCGCATCCGCTTGCACGTGACTAGCCGTCCAAGAGTCCTGAGCGTTTTGCGGCTCTAAACAATAAAAGTCTGTAGAAGTGAGGTTGTTTGCGCATTCTCTCCATCTTGCATGATGATCGCCTCCATCCGAGCATTTCCAGGGACAAGGGTGATGCTGAAAAGGGAAATACCCCTGATTGGGAAGAAGTATAGGTAGCTGACTTAGTGCTGCACCTGGGATGCTTGAAATAATCCGAACTTCAGCATTACGACCAAGTAATAGTTAGCTGAGGTCAGCACGTGCTTGTGCGCCAATCACCCTTGCATTGACCGCGAGCAGCACTTTATTTCCTCAGGCATCTTGCATCTGGTCGTTTGTTCTCTTGAAACGGACCAAAATGGCCAAGGTCTCTATTGCATGCGAAAGAGTATTGACTGTAACGCATACATGTGCGTCACTGGCTGAAGAGATGTACCGGCGGCAGGCAATACTCCACCTCGACTTTGTTGACATGATCCGAGAATGGATAAAACAGCTCTGAAAAGATAATTATACCCTACTTCATTCGAACTGGCTGCTTCCTGGAGGGCTCATCTTGTGACACTTTGTAAAAATACGCTTCGACACCTGTACTGTAGCGGATATGTACATGTATTTCTGACACGCAGTACAGGCGCTTCAGGGAATCTTCCCATGCTGTCTCTCACCATTCAATGGCGCTCTAAATCTATCATCGGTTGTACACTGAAAACACAGATCCATCGCACACAGTTTGCAGAGCTGGTGAGACATGGCATCCGGCTTCGTGTCAGGCGGCCTGACCGAGAATAGGGAGCCTTCGTCAGAAACACGATCCGACGGGGGACATCGGGTACGTGGGAGAGTTTGTTGTTCTTCCCGCGGTTCGGCGTGCGAGATACCAGGCAATGTCGCGGTTCGGCGTGTTGAGAAGCTGCTCAATGGCTTACACCAGATGAGACGGCACCAGTGAACTGTGCCTGGTTACCCGTGCACCTACGTGGCTACTGGAGCCAGCCATGCACATGCACTCTCGGTGTTCCCTCACTAACACGACGACTAAACAGTTCACTTACAAGCTACAGGAGGCTGAGCCGTTGTCGAGTCTCGACAGATAGCTCAGGCCAGTCAGGGACCTCCTGGACCGAGGCAAACTAATACATGAGCTGGTAATTGCGCGGCTCATCTTCATCACTGCGCGTACAGGGACATACGCACACGCACACACACGCGCTAAAAGGTATGCCAGTCGTCAGCACCCAGCGGCCTATCAGCGAAGAGGTGTGATTAGTAATTGAACCGGGGCAATACGGAGTCACCGGTGGGAAGGGAGCCTCTCCGCTATCCCTTTTCATCAACACGAGACACAATAGTGTTATTTGAGAGTCAACCATGGAAAATGAAATCCGAGCGGAGGGACGTGTTCACCAACCGTTGTTCCCTTCTCCTTTGGTGTTCCGACGTTGAATTTAGTTCAATTCACAACGCACTTCGCAGGCTATAGCTAAGCAGAGCCCTCCTACCTAGGCCATGCCGCCAGTACATGTAGTGTAAAACCATGATTGTGCTGGACTGTAGACGATTCTGGTTAAATTAATGACAAGTGCCGGTGGTACAATGTATGCAGCGGACCGCACGTGGAAGTCTGGAAACTGTCTTGGCGAGGTTGACATGCGAATGTGCCCGATCGTGTACCGCCGTTTGGAGAGTCCAACCCCTTTGAAGTCGCTGGTAGCGAGTCGACAACTCAGGAGAGCAGTCGCCCTAACTAGGACGTCTAGGCATAGTTTGCACGTAATACTAATTATATCTGTACACAAGAGGTGAGTAGGGATCATAGAGGTGAAGGGACAAAGTATGCACAACGCTCAACAGCAGTGAGACGTTGTGGCCATGGTGACAGTTTTATGAGCAGCGGTCGAGACTTGAGCTCCCGCTTGTCATGTTTAGGATTGCGGGAGCATTGATACTGGAACTGGCGGAATGACAGTCCGCCACTTGACTCATGTTCACATCATGGCTACTCAGCGACTGTCCTGCAGCTAAGGACCTCACGGCTCCGCATGCCTGTACTGGCGGTGCAGTTCTGTCTATTTTAACAAAATTTACACATGGACAAACGCAGAGAGGGAGCAGACCCTTCGAGATGGACCAACATTTGGTCAGTGGACGCCTCCAGCTGGAATCCAGACCCTGGAAACGCTCTACACTGTACATGCTCAGTCTGGTGCCAATCTTCAGGTCCACTTTGTAGCGCCGCGTGCCGAACTGCCCGATCATCGTGTGTTGTTCTCTCTGGCACTGCTGTTTCGTGTGCATGTTGTTAGCTCTGGGATTGGGGTTTGGGAAGGTCGCAGCTGCGCCAATGCAATCCACACATCGTTCTGGAATCCATCATTGCAATCAAGAACACAGATGGCTATGCTGAACAACATTTTTTGACAAAGATGGGCACAGGCAGCAACAGCCTGGGATCTTGTTCCAAGTCTTTCAAGATTCTAGCTGCGTGCCCGCCTGTATAAGGGAACTCGTGCAGCACCAGAGGCAGAGCAGCAGCAGCACGGTAGTAATGTGGCACACCTTGCCAGTACTCACACCTACCATGTCCACATTCCACGATCAGAAGATCAGAGATCAATGTCTGCGTCTCACTAGGTGTGATCGTGTGAGCGAACCTGCGATCATGAACACACAAGCTTCTTTTAAGGGCAAACAGAATACAACTCACGGTGCCGTGGTGAATGTGCCCACACTCCACACGGCTTCGCAGCATGTGACCGGCTTGCATGATGCTGCTGCTTGCCAGAATCTAGCATGCATCATCATGCACGACCTTGGTTAAGGCCACACCCGGTGTCCCATGAGTCGCCAACTGCATGCTTCTGGCCACACGACTGGAGTCCGAACGCCCGCGTGGTATTCCTCTTTTATGGGCGTGAGCAGTGTAGCAAATACCAGCCAGGCCAAACACCTAAACGACCCTTTCGCGGAAAGCCTCCTAATCTTCCATACAAACCCGCATTACCCACCCCAACTAAGCCGGTGACAGAAAAGCCTTGTGAGCTGCCAACAGGTTTGGAAGGTGACCCTAACACACAGGCTTGGCTCAACAGGATTCATCAAAAATTTGGCAGAAGTGCAGAGCTATAGGCCAGATCCGGGTGAAGCACACCTGCATGATTGTCATGGATAGTCAAACTGCTCTGCATCTGTAAGCCATTATCGAGCAGAGGATGAGGTGTGAAGCTGAGTACCCGCCCATGCCGAAGTGGGAATGTATCTGCGGCCAAACGTCGTGTGCCGAGGAATGTATTCAATAGGAGTCTTAAATTACAGCCTACAGGTATAGTCGGTCGGTTCATCGATCGGGCGCTGGCTAGGTCCACCAGGGATAATTAAATGGAATTCCTCTTCGAATGACCTGCCAAGGACCTACATGTACAAGTCATAATCATTGTACAAACAACATGACTTGTAGTTGTACAGTAACTGATGGAATCAATCATCTACTCAACGTCATTACTGAGCTGATTGCTGGTGTGCTGATTATGTGTGCATGTGTGCATGTGATGACGCGACATACCGGTAAGTATTTTAATAGTTGTCAAGTAACTTTGGTTACATGGTCCAGTCCCTAGGGTGCTACCTTGGCTTGGGTGGGGAGGTGAGATCTTTCGGCTGATCACTGCACACGTGTATGGGCGCAGCCATTGTCGTATGCCGGAAGAAGAACGTGCTGACCTGGCCAACCATGTGTGCAAGAGATGGTGCAGGCACGTGGCCTTGAACAATGCCAGTAGTCCATAATTAATTATGTTTCACGCGAAGTTAGGTTACTAATATGCAGGGGATGATTGCCCAGCTGTAGTCAGACAGTTATTACATTGCAATGGAAATGTCCGCAGACAGAAGAACGAGCAGTGCTGTTTCGCAACTCTGAGTTTCGGCGAACTAACAATCGATCATCAGACGAAAATTGAAATGTCTGTCTCACTCTGCCTCTGCTTGCCCACGCTTTGCTTGCCTACTGCTCGATCTGACTTCACTCTCCGGACAGCCGACACAGCAGTGACCGGAAGTAACACACGCAGCATGTACCGGTACATGTCCGAAGGAGTTAATTTTCAGCAGTGCGAAACAGCTGATGGTTCACTCGCCAACAGCGCGAAACAGCGGTTCGCTCGTCCGGTCTTGATACAGAAGAACATTCCCAAGCGATTTGATGGAATTCTGGTATTGGTGACAATCGGGCAGTGACACTCTGCGTTCATTTCTGCCGCCAAAGGCAGTAACATGATGTTGTTCTCATATCCAAATAGTCATGTATGTCACAAGCAGAGCCCCTCCGTGATGTATCTCACGCAGGTCATATCAGTGGCAAATCGTAACGTTGTCCCGTGGGGTCAACCACTGAACCCTCTTGGGATCTCTTCCGTGATCCATGCGAACGCGCGTGCCTAGCCCGGAGGCTTACAAACCAACCCACGTTTGTCTTCACCTAACCACAGTATGCTGTAGTAGCGTTGATCATGAACCGCTATTGGTGGGTGGCTCATTCTCGGAATAGAACAAACAAACCGAAGCACAGAAGACGTCTACAATCATTCGCTCTGGAGAATGATTGGTAACCGTATCCATGTATGGTCGCACTGACTACCACGTCTGTACGTAAAATAGTAGTATTTGATGGTCGGAGGAAATTCTGTACCCGTATTATGTCCGGGGGGGGGGAGCTGCAGACCACACACCGGTATGCGTAGTACACATGAACAGCGGAGTACATGATTGTACTTGCATCAAGGTATAACCATCAATCTCAGTGATTCTCAGTCTGTGTGGTAAAGTGCAGACAAACAAAACACACAAATCCATGTATGCATCCTGCCGACAGTCATGCATCCTGCCGACAGTCATGCATCCTGCCGACAGTCATGCATCCTGCCGACAGTCATGCATCCTGCCGACAGTCATGCATCCTGCCGACAGTCATGCATCCTGCCGACAGTCATGCATCCTGCCGACAGTCATGCATCCTGCCGACAGTCATGCATCCTGCCGACAGTCATGCATCCTGCCGACAGTCATGCATCCTGCCGACAGTCATGCATCCTGCCGACAGTCATGCATCCTGCCGACAGTCATGCATCCTGCCGACAGTCATGCATCCTGCCGACAGTCATGCATCCTGCCGACAGTCATGCATCCTGCCGACAGTCATGCATCCTGCCGACAGTCATGCATCCTGCCGACAGTCATGCATCCTGCCGACAGTCATGCTGGTGGTATAGACCCGACACATAATCTATGCATCCTGCCGACAGTCATGCTGGTGGTATAGACCCGACACATAATCTACACTTTGCATTTGATTCAACTCCGATGTGCTGCCATTTGTTTTATATTGTCAAGTAGCTCGGTGATACTAGCAAGGAAGAAAGGGACACACTCTAGAGGAGTGTACAAAGTAAGGAATCTTGAAGACAGCCTCAAAGTTTGCGTCAGCATGTCCACAATGACTGTGCATCGAATGTGTACATGTGTAGCGAACAATATCACTGATGAGAGCATGTGACTATCATCAACATCATAAGAAAGTATCAATGTCAGAATGTTAGGGGCCAGATTCTGAGGGGTACTTTTGGCAGAAGAACTGCAATGAAACGCGGCAGAAAGTCGAATGCATAAAATGAGGCATGTAATACGGAAAGAAACATAAGCCTGTTTATAATGCTTTGCAGCCGCACTGAGAAAATTATAATATAACATTCAATTTTCCCACAGACAAAGCCGTGCACTCACTCCACCATATTCTCTCTCTCTCTCTCTCTCTCTCACTCTCTCTCTCTCTCTCTCTCACTCTCTCTCTCTCTCTCTCTCTCTCTCTCTCACACACACTCTCTCTCTCTCTCTCTCACACACACACACACACACACACTCTCTCTCTCTCTCTCTCACACACACACACTCTCTCTCTCTCTCTCTCTCTCTCTCTCTCTCTCTCTCTCTCACACACACACACACACTCTCTCTCTCTCTCTCTCATAAATGCATTTCCCATATATACGCACACTGATTAGGTAATACTGTGCAGCAATATTTCTTTCTGTACAATGTCACCACCGCTTGTGTCACGATGTGCCAGCTGCAAGTATATCGGGAGTCACAGTCTCAGGGCCAAGGTACAAGACAGACAGCGATAGGGACTCCACTTCCACTTGGAGATGTGGCACGCGACTGTCAAAACACTCACTACTGCACAGTAATCTGTGTTTCTGTTGCCTACAGGAATACTCAGCTATGAATATCACACATGCATGCATTTTCGCCATGTTCCACATCACACATCAAAGACTGATGATGTCCGCGGCACGATCTGCTCCTTCAACTTCTGCTACCACACCTGCAGCCATTGTCTTATCGCCAGTGGGCTCCTCATCTTCAATCAGCATGGAAGACCCAGTGTTGTCTGCAGCGGGCACATCACGTTCCTCTGGTGTGGATGTACCAGTGGGCACATCACGTTCCTCTGGTGTAGATGTACCAGTGAGCACATCATGTTCCTCTGGTGTGGATGTACCAGTGGTATCTTCAGCTGCTGCAGTAGCACCTACCTCATCAGTTTGTCCAGAGATGATTTCCAGGCACTGGCGGAGAGTGCGGCTGGCCTGTTTCCTGACCGGATCCACCTTGGCATATTTCTTGCGCAGCACGTCATCCCCGTTACCAGTGTCCGCCTCACCGCTATCATTTCGCTCACCGGCAGAGGCAGCCTCATGGTCACCTTCTACATCTGCCGGACTGCTTCCATTTGATGCGCTTGCCGTAAATACTGACAACAGAGATGTCGGGTTGCTCAGCTCTGACGAGTGTACAGATTCGACAGATAATTCTCCGGTGTGATTTTCGGGGAGAGTAAGGTCTAACGGCAATGACGGCTTGGCTGGACAAGGTTCCTGGGGTGGTGCAGCTTCTGGAATAGATCCATTTACAAGCTCCAACTTTCTATCTGAGATGTCAGGCAGCAGAAGTCTGGGGTGGCCAGCAGCATCCCTGTTCATGCTGTTGGGCCTTGGCGGTTTGGGAGGCGGTGTCTCATCCGGAGATACTGATGGTGACTTGACGACCCGGTTGTTGTGCACCGGTGCTGATTGATTTGATAACAAAAGGAACGTAGCACTCTGCGAGCGTGGTGGCTTCGGGGGTCGCTTGCCGCCCGTCGACTGTCGGTTCAGGGTGTTCGTTTGGCTGTGTGAGGTCGGTGGTAATGATGATGATGACTTGACAGAAGACGCATGGCATCCTTTTGGCAGCGTTTGACTTCCAGCCAGCGGCGGTGAGCAGGCGCTATGAGCCTGATTAGCAGCACCGCCGTTCAGTTCACTTACCTTTGCGTAGGCACTGGTGGACGGGCGAGCGCTCGACGCGGCTAACATTACGGGTACAGGAAGACTTCGTTTGAGGATGTTGGCGTTTGTCGGAATACTGGTGAAGGACCTGCTCCGCTGGCTAGCCTTCAGTGGCTGCATGCTGCCGGGGGCAGTGACTGTACTGTGAGTCCGCGCTGCTGTCATTGCCCTGCCAGTGCCAGGACTGCTGGATTGGGACGTGTAGCTACATCGTGGTGCGGCTTTCCTCCGCGCTGGTAGCTTGGGTACCTCACCGGCAATGCCCACTGTGCTCACGTGTTGCACGCTGGCAGTACGTCTGATTGTGAGCGGTGGCTCTGCAATTTCCCCATTCTTGCTGATACTGCAACAGGTGCACATGTTGGAACAGGCATAACACAGATCGATAGCCTGTTGCCCGCCTTAAAGGGGAAGTTAAGGCAAAAATTAAAATTTCACCAGTTGTAGTCTTCGGGGTGCTGAGTCGAATGGTCTTGGTCCGAGAAAGCTGAGACGCTCCCTTCCTACTTGAATCCCAACCGAACTCGCACACTTCCACTGAAACTGGGTGACTGCGCCCTACTAGATGGGGATTTGTATGCAAAATGTCACTAAAAGCGCCATTTCGTTCTTATAAAAGCACGGATGACCGCGATTGGCCCATATGTTGTAGTCTTTGGACGCTGAGTCGACTGGTTTTGGTCCGAAAAGGCTGCGATGCAGCGTTCCTCCTTAATTCCCAATCGAACATGGTTTAACAAGCGGTCACGTGCTCCTGCGTACACCAGTCAGCTGGTCACCGTGCCTGCAGGGTACAACTTACTAGCCTGTTTGACCTTTTTTGGGTGCAGTCCTGTCACACGAGTTGAACTCGAGTTGAACCTTGGTGTGAAAGTTGTCGCCTGCTGGCGTGGTGACCAGGTGATTTGGGCACCCAGGAGCACGTGACCACTTGTTCAACCATGTTCGATTGGGAATAAAGGAGGAACGCTGCATCGCAGCCTTTTCGGACCAAAACCAGTCGACTCAGCGTCCAAAAGACTACAGCATATGGGCCAATCGCGGTCATCCGTGCTTTTATAAGAACGAAACGACGCTTTTAGTGACATTTTGCATACAAATCCCCATCTAGTAGGGCGCAGTCACCCAGTTTCGGTGGAAGTGCGCGAGTTCGATTGGGATTCAAGTAGGAAGGGAGCGTCTCAGCTTTCTCGGACCAAGACCATTGGACTCAGCACCCCGAAGACTACAACTGGTGAAATTTTAATTTTTGCCTTAACTTCCCCTTTAACACTTAACATTTTAACTTTAGAGAGCCACACATTGGTGCAAACAGATACGCACTCGCACACATGTGCACAAACACAAGCACACACACACAAGCACACACACACATACACATGCACACAAGCACACATACAAACTCATACTTGTACTCCTGTCCATCGCTGAAACGATGATAGCGAACAAGCCATGTTAGACATAGCAACTTGTGCTGGGATTACACCATTCAAAAGCTTGCAAGGCTGATGAACTGCCCGCCACTAATTTTAGCCTATGTTTAACCACATACACACAGATGCACACACACACACACACACACACACAAACACACAAACACGCGCGCACACACACACACACACACACACACACACACACACACACAGAAAGAGAGAGAGAGAGAGAGAGAGAGAGAGAGAGAGAGAGAGAGAGAGAGAGAGAGAGAGAGAGAGAGAGAGAGAGAGTCATAGTGAAATGCAAATTACAATATTGTGTGGATCATCCATGTACATGTAGTTTTCAAATGCCGCCGACGTATACAGCAGAACCGTCCCACTTATCCTGGCAACTTGGGACTAAAGCGTTCGAGCATTTCAGAATCTTACACAACTCGGAAATACACTTGTCATTCTGTTCACTTGAGCTCACTGGCCCACAATTGACACGATTCATAAGCGTGCACAGTAAGATTTGAGCACTATGACCTGTTCTGCAGTGAAGCACTTCACCTGACTGCTGGGAAAAGGAAGTCTTCAAGATTTGAGTGCACATGCCTGCCTGCAGGGTACCCGGATGTCGAATGTATTCCTTAAGTTCGTTCCCATTTGATTGCTTTCCTAAAACCCTGATGTAAAAACGCTATAGAAAGGGGCAAAAGAAGATAGCGTCCGACGGCTATTCCCGAACAATTCAATACACTTACCTGCTGTCTAGATGGCTAGTTGATCCGCCGAACTTTGTAACAGATTGCATCTGGTCCACACTGTCATACAAGGAGCCTGCTGGCAGTGAAGCAATGACTCTCTGTGACGATGGACCAAGGGCACCCTCACCGCCATTACTCAGAGATGGAAGCTGGACTTCCTCATAGGTTGTAGCGGTCACGGCTCCCTTCACCAACGGCCGGTAGTCAGCTGATTCCTCCGCAGAGCTTGAGTGGCGGGAGCCTCCGCTCTCCTGGCTGCCACGGCGCCTGCTTTCTGTCATAAGGCCTGGCTGGTTAGACGCTGATGCTGATGCTGGAGATACAGCTAGCGAATTGGACTGGGATGGACGGTGCGAGCCTGAAGGAATGGCGCCATTGGCCGCCAGAGGAATGTTCAGCTTGTCGTAGGTTGGATCACTGGAACCGGCATTGGAAACATGACCATTGGCCCGGGTGCCCTTCTCGCCGGGGTTGTGTTGCAGGAACTGCAGATGGTCGTATTCACGCTTGCTAGGCGGGCTGAGGGTGACGGCACTTTGATTGTGAACGATGAGTGCTGAAGTGCTGCTCACTGTAGACATTGTGAACTTGGTCTCTGCAATGGAAACGAGGTAACACACCATATTAGGATGGTTCAAAGTCTGTACAGTAAAACCTGTCTGGGAAACCGTTCTGATAAGGCGAACACCTGTCCCAGAAAAAAAACACTGCAGTGCAACCAGGATCAAGGGGTTTTATTTCCACTACTGTGAACCTGGATAAGGAAACCCCCTACCCGTACACAGCGGTACATTTACGGGTCCCAGTCTCACTGTGCACGTACAGTGGAGATTGGATATAACGACACTCATTCGGGAGAAAGCAAAATGTCGCTATATTCGATCTGTCACTAAACTCGATCTTCACATTTAGTATGCAATATGTATATCAAAATGACAGAAATGTATTGTAGATATTATAATTATATATTCATGTACATGTGGATAACATATGTGTATGTACATACATGTATGTCTTGCATGCATTGTTCAAGGGCGGTAAAGTCACCCTACACCGCTGCACTGCGGCTACAACGTGCAATATAAAGCATACAGTGACCCGGAGGTCCGGGCACGTGGCACAGCCATGTACCATGTTCCAGACATGCCAGTCTGCCTGATACAAGAGGAAAGGCGTTATATCCCATGTATTTTCACTGTTTTTCAGGTCTTCGGGCACCAAAAAAGTGTCAGTAAATTCGATCTGTCGTTATTTTCGAGGTCGTTATACCCGATCTATAAGGTACAGAAAGGACTTGCTAAACGACTTGGGCAACAGAATTGTGTCGCTAAGCTCGATTTGTCGTTATACCCAAGGTCGTTATATCCAATCTCCACTGTAACTAGTTTACACCATCTGAACATTTCCTTTCTTTAGCGGAAACTTCGGCCAGTGCAAAAAAAGTACATACACACACATACATACATACATACACACACACACACACACACACACACACACACACACACACACAATGACACACACACACACACACACACACACACACACACACACACTTCTCTCTCTCTCTCTCTCTCTCTCTCTCTCTCTCTCTCTCTCTCTTTAAAACTCTATTGCAGTGCAGTTACTACATGAAATGTTTACAAGCAACTCCTGCTTGTCAGTAACACCGCTATTAGCACCAGAAGCCTAAGCGTCTTGGATATGCTAAAAATTATTCCATGTATCACAATGCACGCTGCCTTCCCTGTTTTATGTTTTCTTCTGCTAAAGCTTAGTGGCTATAATGCAATAAGGCAGACATACCAGTTTTCTCATCAACTTCAATAACATCCCGACAATTCTACTTGCCAGTCTCACTCCCAACTGTCCGCAAACCGGGTCCCTAGATAGACCCCCAACCCAAGCATTTGACCAATCAATATCAATCAAGAACAAACACTGACCTTCACCGCTTGCCTCCACATCCTCTGCAGCGTCACATTTCTCATAGAGGCTGTTGCTGAAAAAAGCCATGGGTTTTGAGGAGTATTTGATAACGGACCTCTGCCTTGGACCAGTGCCGTATTTGCCCACTGTCTGATCCATGAAATAGACAGTCTTTGCCCTGGTCACATAGAGAAAGCAGCATTGCAACAAGCAGGTTTTGATATGAGTTCATAATGTGCTGTTTGGGGGGGGGGGGGGCATTCAAAGTGGAAAGCTAGGTGATGCTCAAAGGTTCAAATCACACTCACAATGTGTGTCGATCAGGGAATTAAGACCTCCATTTAGTCCAAACCGTGTTCTAAATATTTCGGTTCGTGTGTAGCCCACTTTAGCTTTCCTGAGTGAGAAGACGTGATGAAACATGTCCTTGCAAGTCTGGCTGTGAAACCCTCCACTGGTACCGGTACAGTATAATAGTTTACACTAAGCAGTAAGTACATGCTCACGCTGGCAGTTTGCAAATGCAGCTGGAGAATACACATTGAAGGGAATGTATCTACTCTGACAGCATGTAAAAAATTATTTAAAAATATAGAAAGTAAATTATCGTGTCCGTTCCCGAAGGGAACTCACGACGGCTGCTAACACCCGGTAAACCCTAGCGGCAGATGCAGCGCCTAACGGTGGGGGTGAGTGGATAAGTCTCACAACCACTGGCACAAGTGCCGAGAAACTCCATCACTTGCATGGCGGCGGCAAATGTCAGGCCCCCGTTTACTTCCACCCTGTTTTTTTCCCGATACCTATCGTTGTTGCAACATTTCTCTTTTTCCGTATTCCGTAGAAGTCGCCATCCATCTTCTATGACTCTCCCTAAGTCTGGTACATACTTCACTCAATCCCCTCTATTTTGTCTCAGTGATGCCTGGAATATGCTGCCAGAAGAAATCCGCTGTCTGACATCCACTAGCCGATTTACTGTTGCTGTGCGTAGACACTATCTGCACCACAAGTATTCTGTGCAAGGTATACCAAATTTTTGCAAGTAGCTTCTGCTGTTCCTGTTTGTATTATAATTTTTTTTCACTTTGTCATGTCCCTTCTTCCCTCTCTCATAATGGCCACCTTCACTTCCTTTCCCCAGGAGACTCCCTTTGACAGGCATCCAGTTGCCTCTGGAGAATCCCTGAAAATATAATATCAAATATCATTAGCTGCATCCATGTACCCCTAGGCCCTTGTGCCTTGGCCACAAGTTCCCAGTTGACTGTGGGTTGCAGCACGGCTGGAAAAGAACGCTCCCAGGCAGGACTTGAACCAGGTACCTCTCGTATCTCAATCATGGTCTTTGACCAACCACTGTGCCTGACAGCATGTGGTAAGAGCATAACAGAAATACTAAAGATGATACACGCACACTGAAGATGTATAGCCTGCTGTCTGCTGGTTGCTAGTATGCTTTTACGTTATTGGGTGCCTGTTTGACCATCAGTACTAAAACCATGTAATTTTCGGTGTAACTTTAAATTTCAGTCATTTTGGTAGAGAAACCAGGCACCTGGATTTGAATTACACCTAAAGGCACTAGAGTATGCACTGTATGTATGCACTGTATGTGAAAGGAACGCTGGTCACCTATTTCTACATTACACCTGAAACCTGGCAGGTCTCTGGCACCTCAAATTGCATGTTTGACCAGTAGCTGTTATACTGTACACACAAAGTCATGATAGATGCATGCCCACGGTGCAGACAAATCAATGCGTGTACAACTTTGTCTACTTACACACACAGCAACATTTGCCCTCACCTTCGGCGTCGTACCACGCACACCACTATTAGGATTAGGATCAGTAGCACGAAACCTCCGCCAACTGCGACTCCAATAATGGTGCCTAGTTACCAACATACACCAACAAGAACCAGATGCGCAGGAGGAAAACAATCGTGTTGTCCCACATTGTGCAGGTCTCATGAAAATCTCTAAAGCATGTCTTAGGCCTGATTCATATTTAATTGCGCGCACAGGAAACATTAACACGTCACATCGCGAAATAGCCGACTTGTGCTCAACTTGTTTGGCCCATTGCGGTCCCGTCGCGCGATATGTTTCCGCGTGCGAAATGAAGTATGAATTAGGTTTTAGTCCATCTCACATTATGATAGACAGTGGATGTGCGTGGGGTAGGATTATGCAACAATGCTTCCACCAGCATTGGAAAAAAAATCTCTCAATGGCTGGTGTTCCAATTGTTGTTCCTTTTTCATCATCATTAATCAAAGTACATGAAATCATTGGGTCAAATCCGAGTCCCGCTGTGCGACAGTGGCGGTAAGCTAAATCCAGCCTCATGAATAGAGCAGAGTCGCATTCACAGTGTGGTGCTTGCTGTGTTATGCAAGTGGAACATTCCCATGCCACTCTATTCACGGGGTCAGCTTTCACCCTGCACCAAGCGGCACATTATTTCGTATTCACTATTCAGTGTATATGTATTTATGGATTCTCCACAGGTTTTATAGGCCATTCACACTACATGATCATGCATCCGCGTTTTCTCGGTTTGAGTATACTGTTGTGCGACTGTGCGGCAGGAACATTCACACCAGCATTTGAAACCCGGTGCGGGTGTGCGTTTTCACCGCGACTGACCAAGTTGTCTTGGAGATAAAATGGCGCATGCCTGAGCATGGGCTAGTTAGCTCATGAAAATTAACGTTAATTAGGATTAATGTTCATGAAATGAATTCACGGACAAGTCTGGTAGACGATGGGCCTTGTACAGCTCTTGTCCCTTCTTCTTGAGGGAGTCAACATCGTTGTGTACTTCTTTCATGGAGAAGCGTTTCGCGAGGCTGATTGCTTCCATGCGATTATCCAGCAGGTGTGTAGCTTTTTCTCCTTCGCACTTCTGGTCATCATTGATTTTATCAGTTGATTTCAACAAGTCGCAATAAATTTCAATGAGCATACGCTCAGACTCGGGTCTGAAAGTTCAGTTGGACATGGTCATCGGTCGAAAGGAAAACAGAAAAAACACAACCACTTGGTGACTGGCACTGGTGCCAATGCTTTGAATTGCAACCGAGAAAACGTACAGCCAGGGGTGCCGAGGCCGTGGGACCGTTTGCGGGCTCACGTTTTCAAGCCTCCCGCCAAACCATGGTTTCCATGGCCGCCTACCGAGAAACAATGAAAATGTGACTTCTGGACCGTAGTGTGAATGGCCTATTAGCCTAAATCGAGGTACATGTACATCAAGTAATGAACAACGAAATCCACCAACTTGTCTAAGACACCGTAAGCAGTCCACAGCGCAATAAGAACCCCATATAGAATGGCATACCTGTTCCCAGGCCACGGCTAGCGGATGCTTCAGTCGATTCTGGCATAGAAGTCGTGGAACCATTGGTAGTTGTGTGGTAGCCAGTGAAGCTTGACGACAACGACTGGCTTGATGATGACACACCAGGTGCTGATGATGGTGCTCCTGTTAGTGAAGTTGATGGTGCACTTCTATTGGATGCTGCAGTAGATTCATAGGCTGGAGTTGCTCTGCTACTGGTTGCAGATATTGACTGTGCAAGTGTGCTCTCCGTGGACGGCGATGGGTGGACCACAGGGAGTGAGGTCACAGGTGACGACACGTCTTGTCTTGTGGAACTGGTCAGGGGCGAGGGACTGATAAATGTGACAGGTGTGGCTGGCAGAGAGGATGTTCCAGTCTGCATGGACTGTGTTGGGGATGCTCCAGCTTGCATGGACGATGTTGAGGATGCTCCAGGCAGGGTGCCTGATGTTGAGGATGGTCCTGTAGGTACCAATTGTGTTGGTGATGGTAATGATCCACTTCCCATGTCATCTCCACTGCTGCCTGTATGTGTGGAGATCATGAGAAGTATGCCAGTTTTAGATTCACCAAGCGAATGTAAAACTGAGACTGTCACTGTTCTACCTGAGTTTTTCTATCCCTTTTAATAAGGTTGGACTAATATCATGATTATTATGAATTGTGCCTCTTTCAGTCTACATGTGTCTCAGCGTAGTACTCTCCCTCCCTATGCCACACTCTCTGTCCATCTGTACGTCTGTCTGCCTGCCTGCCTGTCCCCTCCTTGTATGTTTCTCTTTCTCTCTTCTTTTCTTTCCCAACTCACTGCAACGTACCATCCTCCACCTCCCCAAGTCCCTTCCTACAAACCCCGTAGTCTCTCCCTACCAACTGCTCTCATCTACCCTACCCACCCACCATGCCTCACAGCCCATGAGGGGAAGTACCTTACACCCACCATGCCTCACAGCCCATGAGGGGAAGTACCTTACACCCACCATGCCTCACAGTCCATGAGGGGAAGTACCTTACACCCACCATGCCTCACAGCCCATGAGGGGAAGTACCTTACACCCACCATGCCTCACAGCCCATGAGGGGAAGTACCTTACACCCACCATGCCTCACAGCCCATGAGGGGAAGTACCCTACCCACCCACCATGCCTCACAGCCCATGAGGGGAAGTACCTTACACCCACCATGCCTCACAGCCCATGAGGGGAAGTACCATAGCAAACTGTACTGATCTAGCTAGTGTGAAGCGCACCTTGAAACTCAGCAAAACACTGCGAGTGTAGAATATTCAACACAACCTGCTATCGTATTTTCCCCGGGGTATAAGTCGCACTTTAAACACCAGCAATTCACCCCCAAAAAGAAGTCGGTGCGGCTTATACTCCGATGATCAAATTAACGGTGATAAATAGGGTAGATGTCTGTATTTCGTGCCCTAACACCTGGGTACGGCTTGTACTCCAGTGCAGCTTATACTCAGTGACTGAAAGTATGGTGCAAGTAGAGATCGGCTGTAGGGTTGGTTGAGCAATATACCGGTTATAATGTTATCATCTTCAAAATTCAAAAGCAAAAGTATCTTTTCCAATCAAACTAGACCGGTTTTGAGAATACCCGGCTTTAGCAATTATCGTCTATTGTGATCAAATTCTCACTTCAAAACCACTCAATTGCATGCATTGTACTGTACATTACGGATCGTTTATTGTGATTGATGGTACCTACAGGAAGCTTTGGGAAATAATTGAGATTACGTAAATTCTGTGTAATACCAGCAGTGTGGTCATAGAGTAGATGCAGGTTGTTATTTTTTGTACTTTACAAGTCTCGGTATGGTACTAGTTACAGTACGATGCACAAAGTTGTGTACGTCATCATTATTTTATTTATTTTTATTTATTTATTTATTGCAGCATCTCATAGCACAGTGAGAACACCGGCCAATACAAAGAGAGAGGGTGTTAGCCAACCACGGCAAGGAAGGGAGAAGGGGAGGAGAAGAAAAAAAGGAACCGGCATGGATAAGTAGTGATTGCAACAAAATGAGAAACACAAAATCAAAGTCAAGGCGCGACAAGGCTCTTAAAAAGGCCGAGGGAAGAAAGGTCCTTAGCTTCTTGGGGAAGTGCCAGCCACGCAGAGTACGCAGTGAAAAGGGGAGAGTGAAGTAGAAAGGAGGACTTGGGTTTCGGAAGGGAAAGGGAGTTTCTCGTGCTACGGGAAGAAAACCAGTTGAAACAGTGGAGGTGAGGTGGACACAGATTGAGTTTGAGAGAATGGATAAGGGTGACAAGATGTGAATTACGTCTCTTAGACAAAGGGGTAGTGTGAGCAAGGGCATAAAGGGTGGAAGATGGGAGCATGCGGGGTTTCCGGAGGAGGATTTTTAGAACTTTTTTGTGCTGAATTTCGAGCTTTTCAGCACGGGTTGTGGAAATTCCAGCCCAAGCAGTATCTGCATAATCAAAAATGGGGCGTATGCAAGCTGAGTAAAAGAGGAGTTTACAAGAGATTGGGAGATGGTAACAGTGAGAAGAGAGGATTCCTAAAGATGAACTTGATCGTTTACATATGTAATCGATGTGGGGTTCCCATGAAAGATTAGAGTCAATGAAAATGCCAAGATGCTTATGGCTGGAGACTATGTCTATAGGCTGGGGGAAAGTGGGATGGAGGAGGGGCGGAACATCAGGCTGAGAAGGAAAGAGCATGATTTTAGTTTTAGACAGATTGGGCGATAACCGCCAAGACGACATCCAGGAAATTACTCTTTGAATCCCGTTAGCTAGGTTACTCATCAGGCCAGTGATGTTAGGAGATGCCCGTAGGAGCGTTGTGTCGTCTGCGAATAGTGATGTGCCCGGGGCAGCTGCGGGCAGATCATTGACGTATAAGATAAAAAGAAGGGGGCCGAGGATGGAACCCTGGGGAACTCCGGATAGTACTGTTGTGTCGGCTGAGGACGTCCCATGTACCGTGACGTACTGTGTTCGCCCAGTTAGGTAAGATGTCAGCCATAGCAGGGGATTGCCGTCTACAGTAAACGATCCACGAAGCTTGGCCAAGAGCCCCCGGTGCCAGACGGTATCGAAGGCCTTGGCAAGATCGAAAAAACAGATCCCGACTAGGTCTCCAGCATCCCGATGTCCACACACTAATTGCACCAGGCGCGTCAGCTGGAGGGTGGTAGAATCGCCTCTGCGAAATCCGGACTGAGCTGAACTCAAACGTGACGAGACATGACAGTACAATTGGTCGTAGAAAACGCGCTCACAGAGTTTGGAAACACAGGACAGTAAAGATATCGGACGGTAGTTTGATGCTTCGTGGCGGGACCCTTTCTTGTAGATTGGTATAACATTAGCTGTTTTCCATGCAGAGGGAAAACGACCAGTGCGGAATGATAGGTTGAAAATCAGACATAAGGGGTATGCTATTGAGGGCGCAAGGGACTTTAATACCAGATTAGTGATGCCGTCTGGGCCTGGCGCCTTGTCAGACGGGAGCTTTCGAATGTAACGTCGGATGGCAGCAGTCGTAGTAAAGACAGATGTGAGGCGGTCAGCCTCACCCGACTCCTCGGCAATGGGGGGAATGGGTAGAGAAGGGTCATCAGGCACGGCCACTGAGGCGAACTGAGAGTTCAATGCAGTGGCTTTAGCTGAAGAGGTAGTAGCCTGCTGTGTAGAACTAATGGTGAGTGTCGGGATGTCACGAGATACTTTATGATTTTTTAATTTGCTCACGAACTGAAACAGTGATGGGCGGTTTTTGTCCTGCAGCGTAGCTTGTACGGACCGAATGTATCCCCGGTATTTCGATCGAGTCAGACTCTTCACCAAGTTCCGTTGAGATCGATATACATGCATGTTAAGCTGGGTTGGGTATTTCTTACACACACTGTAGAAATCGTGCTTTGCCTTAATGGCGGCACGGAGGGGGGCATCAACCCAAGGTGGCTGACCTAAACGTCGGCATGAGGGGGAGAGTGGACGCCGGGAGAAGTACCCGAGGTGCTTCTCCATGGCCCTGCTAAGAATAGAGTGGAAAGACGAAAGAGCGTCATCCACGTGCGAGCTGCGGAGGTGACATTTCCAGTGGACATCAGCAAGTTCAGCATTCAGGTCATTCCATACGCAACGTGGCACCAACTTGAAATTATAACCTGGGGGTGTAGGGGTAGATGTTGGAAGGAAGTGATGTTGTAGGGTTGGATTTTTGGACGTGACAGGGAGACGGACTCGACAGATGAGCTGCACGTGGTCAGAGCTACCCAGTGGAGCGGCTGAAGCAACGGAGAGGAACTGCTGGGGTGAATTTGTGACGATGAGGTCCAAGCAAGATGACCGGCCACTTGGGCTCCAGTGCGTAGGGAAGTTGACCAGTTGCTCTAATCCGAAGCACCTGAAGGCGGTTTCAAGGCACTGACCCACCGGGGTTGTCCGATCACCAGCCAACCAGCTCGAGTTATGGGCATTGAAGTCACCGGTGAGGAGTAGTGTGGATACAGGTAGATCAAGCGACAGAAGGCAGTCTTCCAGACCATCAGAATATGCCTGGATATCCGCCAGGGTACCACCAGGAGGTCGGTAGGTGGCGCAGACTACGAGTGGACGTTGGGGTGAGTTGGCTGTGCGAAGCTCAAGCCAGATGGCCTCCAAGCCCGGTTGCTGAAGATTCGCCAGAGGCTTCACCGATGTAAAGGAGCCATCTTTCACCAATATGGCTACCCCACCATAACCTCTGGTAGGATTGGCCGATCGAATATTAGAGGTGGGACGATCCCGTCGATGAACTGTGTAGCCTGCCAATGAGAAGAGGTTGGCAGGGGACAACCATGTTTCACACAAACATATAACCTCCGGAGAGTAGATGTTGCACATAACAGTGAGTTCCGCTACTTTGTTGACCACTGAGCGGCAGTTGAGGGAAAGGATGGTAAGGGCAGTATGGATGGGAGGATAAAAGGGACGGGCCAGTGGATTCAGTGTTCCAGTAGTGTTGGGGAAGACAAGGTTACTATTCATTGTGAGAGATATTGTCCGGTGGGCTGGTCAGAATAGAAACGCCATTCCCTCACGGTATGACCCATTGTGTTTGGCCAGAAGGTGTGCCGGCATACAGTATCGGCATCCTTACCCTCGACAGTCACTCTGGCGGAGGCAGTTCGAAAATACTCGGAGGAGTATATTAAGCACTGCACTATTTCAACACCGCGTTCCCTGCACCAGTCTGCTATACTCGCTGCCTCACAACCAAACGGAATATCTCCCAAGTAGAAGACCTTTCGCGGACTGCGGGGTGCAGCATCCAGAGACGGAACGGAACCAGGGACATTCTGGTTTGGTTTGGCGTAACGTGATGATACCTGGCGACGGATGGGATTTCTTTGTGGTGCTTCTTCCTTTGCCTGTTTGTTTGCAGGGAGTCCAACCTCTTCTATTTCAGTAGGGTGAGGTTGGATCCGTGTCATCCTCCTGGCTTGACGGCGCTGATTCCTTGACACGACAGGCTGAAAGGATACGTCGTCCTTATCGGCAGTACTGGCACTACTAGAAGTTTCAGCCATGAGCCCATTTGCTAGAACTTGGGCATATGGTCTAGGAACGTCTGGTGTCTTGGCTAGCTGTCCATTCTCTTTTACTGTTGATGCTTTGTCGCTTTGGAGGGATGACGTATGTGAGCATTGAGCTGCTCCAGCCAGATCCATGGTCTTCTGAGTTCTGCAAGGCTGGACTAACACACCACAGCCAACAACGTTCTCCAACTGGTTCACCTTTTCCCGTGTGGATAGTAAATCATTTCGCAAGCTCGTTAGCTCTGCATCTCTGGTTGCTGAAACTGCAGCAAGTTCACGTGTTAGACTGGCGATGCAATCCTGAAGTTTCTCAAGGCAAGGCACCATTGATGGCAGGCACTTCTCACCACAGGCAGGGAATTGGCTGGGCGCCGAACCTGGGGGATAAGTGCCAATACCATTTTCGCGCAGAGTAGCAACCAAGTCTGGGCGTGCTAGGTCACACGAATTAGGTATGTCCTTCTGCTCAGCTAGTTTTTGAAGCTGCGAAAACTCCAGGATCGCCAGGTCAATATTGAGATCTAGCGCCATCACGTGACTGACTCTGAACACCACTCCAGCAGGAAGTGTTCGGGCGTTGGCTAGCGTTGGCTAGCGCCAGCAACGCCTTCACGCCTGGGACCGACCTCGGTAGCGCAGGAGGAAGAGGACACAGCAAGACGAAGCAAACAATGGCCACCGAAAAGCCAAGCCAGCCTCTTTCACGCTGCAATATCGAGGGAAGGAAATAATCCACAGCAATGGCGTGTCCACAACTGGCCGGGTAGTGGTCCACGAAGCCAATATCCAAAACTTCAAATCAAAATCGGCTCTCAATCTGCAGAGAGACACCTCCAATCCAGAGCGATAAAATCTCTAACCGGTCACTTTGGAAGCAAATTGAATAACCATCATACCTAAGTTGTAAAGTTATCACTTCCATACTTTGACGTACAACATGTACTAGTAGTGCCTATCCATGTATAGTGATACAGTAATCGTCTATTGATCACATCGCACTTCTTCAAACACCAACGCAGATCTCTAGACTCTACCTGTACAATCATGTACTTCCTGAAACTATCAATTCCATTATGATGTACAGTCATGTACATGTATGAGTATATGATGCACATACGCACAGCTCTACGTATTTTTTATTTTTCTATTTACTTTTTTTACTGAATATCACAGAACGATCAGATGCTGCACAGCGGTGGCATATTGGATGGAAGTGGGGGTGGGGCAAAAGTAACTCCTCCGACCAAAGGTCTCGAATCATCGTTACTCCTGTGCGCCGATACATAGGAGAAAAGAAACATGTGCATCCAAGAGGGAAGCACCGGCGTTGCAAACGATAATGGGGAGAATTTGAGATTGAGATAGGACAAAACAATAGTAAAAGCAGTGCACCGTAGGAAGATGGAGAGAACTGATAATCGCACAGTAAGGCTGAGCGAAGGGGATCAAAGAGGGGTCGAAGGGAGCTGGAGTGCAGTCAGTATAATTAGGCTGGTGTGTTGGCTGCAAGCCTAATTATACTAGGGCTCAAACGGTTAGTCCAATTAACCGGTTGCAGACCGGTTACGAAGAATTAACGGTTAACCGATAAAGATAACGGTTACGCAGCAACTTTTCAGTCAATTTTTCAAGTATCAGGTCGTTGCAAAGTATGCACTTTCGCAGGCTGTCGCACCCGTACGCAATTTCTGAGCTGTCAACTCGGTCATATCTGGTCTCTTGGTGTGAGAGTACGTATGAATGAGCATGCAAGAGAATTAACATGTGTGCGTTGTATTGAATAGGGTACATTTTTTGAATGAGTATAGCCAAATATACGGTTAACCCTTAGGTGCCGGTAGGTCGATTTCGACCTATGCTGACAGTGCATACTAAAATCGAGCACAGAGCCAGTCTCGTACATCGCAGGTGCCTGATTTTTGTACAGAGACCCTTCAGTAACTGGCCTGTAGATAGCAATAGAGAAAGTAGGGGGGGTTGCATTTGAAAAAGTCGAGTCGTGATCAACGACGATCGCGCAGATCAGCGGAAGTCAATCGAGCATGGCAGCCTACGCACGCATCCCGCAACATGAACAAAACGTTGCTGTTTCGCTTCGTTTTCGACTAGTAGTACTGTAGTACAGTTCATGGCTACTACAGCCGACCTCCGTCATGGATGCTGCAGGAGCGCTTGAGTTGTTTGAAGAGCTGGAGGCCGATGATGCCTCTGTAGAAGAAGAATCAGAAGACGACGATGGTGAATAATCTGACGCTCTTTTCTCTGACGGAAACCTGCCGTCATCAGATGAGGAAGACCGACTCAACGATGATTTGGTTTTCGGTGAATTTCTTGAGAACGGCAGCTCTTCAGACGAGGACAAAATTTCCGACGATGAGCTTCAAGAAGCTGTAGGGCGAGGGCAAGCGCAGCCAGTTCGTGGACGTGCTCCGCTCGCACTACGAGGAGGAATTGCTCCCGGCGCTGGTCGAGCTCATCCAGCTGATGGAACAGCTGATCGTGGCGTGCGTGGCGCGTGTGGCGGAGGCCGTGGCGGAGGCCGTGGACGAGGTAGTGGATTCGGCGTGCTGAGTGGTGTTGGCGACCAAGATGTTCTTGGACCAGCGCAGTACCCTGACCCTATTGTAAATTTTTCTGACTTGAATATTCAAAAATCGGATATTGGTGTGTCTTGCCATTCAGAATACATACTTTTGTCACTACATCATCTAAACGGTTGCGGAGATATAGGCTTTTCAAAAAATTGAGCCAAAACTACGAAAAATCTAAAATTCAGTCAGGCACCAAAGGGTTAAAAAAGAGTCCACAGGATTGCCGTGGCTTATAGGTTATAACCGTTAGCTTAGCAGTTAACCGTTAGGGGTAAAACCGTGACCGTTTGAGCCCTAAATTATACTGACCGCACTCCAGCTCCCTTCTACCCCTCTTTGATCCCCTTCGCTCAGCCTTAAAGGGGAAGTTAAGGCAAAAATCAAAATTTCACCAGTTGTAGTCTTCGGGGTGCGGAGTCGAATGGTCGTGGTCCGAGGAAGCTGAGACGCTCCCTTCCTACTTGAATCCCAATCGAACTCGCGCACTTCCACCGAAACCGGGTGACTGCGCCCTCCTAGATGGGGATTTGTATGCAAAATGTCACTAAAAGCGCCATTTCGTTCTTATAAAAGCACGGATGAACGCGATTGGCCCATATGTTGTAGTCTTTTGACCTCTGAGTCGACTGGTTTTGGTCCGAAAACGCTGCGATGCAGCGTTCCTCCTTTATTCCCAATCGAACATGCTTGAACAAGCGATCACGTGCTCCTGCGTACACCAGTCACCTGGTCACCGTGCCTGCAGGGTACAACTTACTAGCCTGCTTGACCTTTTTTGGGTGCAGTCCTGTCACTCGAGTTGAACCTTGGTGTGAAAGTTGTCGCCTGCTGGCGCTGTGACCAGGTGACTTGGGCACGCAGGAGCACGTGACCGCTTGTTCAACCATGTTTGATTGGGAATAAAGGAGGAACGCTGCATCGCAGCTTTCTCGGACCAAAACCAGTCGACTCAGCGTCCAAAAGACTACAACATATGGGCCAATCGCGGTCATCCGTGCTTTTATAAGAACGAAATGGCGCTTTTAGTGACATTTTGCTTACAAATCCCCATCTAGTAGGGCGCAGTCACCCAGTTTCGGTGGAAGTGCGCGAGTTCGATTGGGATTCAAGTAGGAAGGGAGCGTCTCAGCTTCCTCGGACCACGACCATTCGACTCAGCACCCCGAAGACTACAACTGGTGAATTTTTGATTTTTGCCTTGACTTCCCCTTTATTATGCGATTATCAGTTCTCTCCATCTTCCTACGGTGCACTGCTTTTACTATTGTTTTGTCCTATCTCAATCTCAAATTCTCCCCATTATCGTTTGCAAAGCCGGTGCTTCCCTCCTGATGCAAGCGTTTCATTTCTCCAATGTATCGGTGCACAGGAGTAACAATGATTCCGAGACCTTTGGTCGGAGGAGTTACTTTTGCCCCGCCCCCACTTCCATCCAATATGCCACCGCCCCCGCTGTGCAGGTATGATGAACCTATGGACATTCATTATTTGTATAGCATTGTAAAACTTAGTAGGAGTGTTGTAAAACTTACTAAAAGAAAAGAAAATGTACTGAGTAATCATATCTGAAGCTGCAGAATCTAGGAATTTCGCGGCCGCCACTCGATGTGTTTGCTTACCTTCGCCTGAACTTGTGGGCAGCGCCATCACAACGGATTCCTTCTCAGAGTCGCTGCCGCTGTTACACACCGACGTGTCGCAACTGACCACCCATCAATCCTGACTGTGCTGTGCCCCGGAACTGCGGATCGCTGCAGCCCTCCTGTTCCGACCACAGCCGGCTAGTTCCGCTTGACGTCCTCGGTCCGCTCCGGACGCTCAACTACCGAAGCAGGGTGGTTCCGGCGTATCTGTAGATTCTAAGAATTCCAACTGCTAGTATCAACGTAACCGCCGCTAGTGTTGTGGGTCGTTCTGGCGCAACACCCACCCACCCGCACACACACAAACACAGCACCGGTCTGTACTACACGAACTTTCTTCCTTCTAGTTCTACTGCTCCAGCTCGTAGCGTCACCAATGCCTCTATCTGCCTTTGCTTTGCTGTTGGATTACCTGTTCTGAAGCCGTTCTTTTCAGAAGCTAACAACTCTGGACCACGAAATAATTGCCAGCTTTCAGCCTTTATACCAGTCATCTATCCAGCACATTGTTGTAGAGTGAAGAACAAGAACAAGAACTACGAAGACGAGCTACTACTAGTACTAGTACAAGTCTTACTGCTGGTGAACCTGGACACGCCACGGCAGTCCGATTTAGCCACGGCTTCATGTGAGTGTGACGGACATAACCTGACGACGATGGACGTACAGCACAGCGTTCGTGCCATGCTAGAGCTACTCGCGATATTGACCACCTGCGATAGAGTAAAAATATGAGCCATCTGATCGGTTGCGTACAGGAGCGCCCGGATGAATGCATGACTGAAATTTGAAACCAACACCGAAAACATGTTAGATCACCACACGACGATTGTAAACACGAAAGAAAGTACAGTCATGATGTATTGAATGCTAGCGCCAGCTAGCTCGAACTCTTTGCGCTCTGAAAGAGTCCTCCAAAAAGGACACAGGCGACATAACACGGGTGTTGCCGCTTGGAGTTCTTGTGGCTCCAGACTGACCAGATTACAAATGTCATGTACTACATCCTGTGTCGCCTTTTTCTACCTGGTCCGCAACGACGTCCCCCCCCCCCCCCTCCCCCTCCCTCCCCCCCCCCCCCCCCCCCCCCCCCCCCCCCTCCTCCGCCAAAGCAACAAAACATCAGGTGAAGTAAAGACAGTATCTATTTATGAAGTAGTTGATTGTTCCAACTAGGAACACACGCTGCTTGCCGAACTTGACACTTCACTGACTCACGACTGCCATCAGGAGCACACGAGAAGCACGTCGCACCTTCCTCTCGGCAAACCTGCAAGAAAGCCACAGTACCTGGGGCTTCACGACTCACGAGGTGTTTGTCGCGCTGGAAACAAAGCGTCTCTGCATGTATCCCTGGGGATGGTTTGGCCTGGAGAGCAGTAAGCACCACTTTATAATAAGTGGTGCTTTTCAGGCACAGTCTTCCTCAGCCTACTCAAGCTCAACTGATGAGGGGTGAATTCCCCGAAACACTGTGTATTGAGCAATGAGTGGTGCTTTCTTGCAGGTTTGCCGAGAGGAATAGTGCGACGTGCTCCTCGTGTGCTCCTGATGGCAGTCGTGAGTCAGTCAAGTGTCATGTTCGGCAAGAAGCGTGTGTTCCTAGACCTAGTTGGAACAAGCAACCAACTAACGTTACTTCATGACCGCCGAAGTCGCAACTTCTAAGTTAGTAATAGTAATAATAATTATTATAACTACTACTACAAGTACAAGTAGTTTGAAACTCGGATGTTGAGCCAATAATAAGTGTAGAAAAGAAAAGGAAATATAGATACGCCTTGAACCTTCCAAGTTGGAAGGCTGTCGGTTAGCGCTACGGAGATGTGTTGAAGCTAGGTGTCAGGACGTCGAATGTCTCAGTACTCTGTCAGTGTTGTGCCTAGCTGTTGCACTTTCTGACTGTATAATACAGTTGTGGCAAGTGAAATCCGACACTTGCCATAGGGGACAGCGCCTCAAATGGACATCAATGATGTAATGCACTGCACCTAATTTGTACTATAGAGCCGTATGCATCCCAAACAGGTCGAAAGGTCACAGCTTAGATACACACAGTTCACAAACATGGTCCACATAAGGAGTATTGGTATCCAATTCCCATTCATTTTTGCCAGCACCTTTTGAACCTTGACTGTGATGAGTACGAATTCTGTCATCAGACAGATAAAGTTGTATGCAGCACATGTACATGTACTGTACTCACGTACATGTATGCTAGGGCTGCAGAGGCTGCAGGATGCACGGTGCAGTCCCTTATGCCAAGTGTCGGATTTCACTTGCCACAACTGTAGTATCTGGTTACAGTGATGGAGAGTTACTCTCAACTCGTATCTATACTTATTTCCTTTTCCTTTCTACAGTACAAGTAGTTTTTTCTCTACAAAATCCACATATCTCCAGACACTGGGGTGAATGATGGAGTGTGGTGGTGGGGCCCATTCCGCCGACCAGAGGTCTAGTATCATGGTTATCATGGTTATCATGGTTATACTGTGAGAAGTCGTGGTGTGATCATGCCTGCATGTTGATCGTCACATGACAACTACATGTACATAGTCATTGTATACAATGACGTTATGTAGGTACCTACCGGTCATAAACCAAAAGTGTGTCGTTAGACGTTAGGAATTCGTCCACACCTCTCATCACCTACATCATCATGGTAGACTCAACACGTAAGATGTATGCACTGGGAGTGAGACTGAGTAGTGAGTGCTTACCACCAACTCACGCCGGTGCCCGGAGAATGAGATCAAGCCAAGGCACATGTACTACAGGTAGACTCCCTTTAATTCGAACCTCAAATTGCCAGGCCCTGACTTCGAATTATCCAGAACTTCTAATTATCCAAATGCAGCCCCATGCACTGATATGTATGTCAAAATGCTTGAAATCGCTTGCTGAATATTTTTTGCACATTTTTACTTGCATCAACGAAACATAGGTACGGGTCATGTATAACGGATCATCAAAACACTGGATCGACACAAAACCATTTTGACCTCTTCTAGTGAAGAAGTTGTCAGTCACTGCAGCTTTCCTGAAACAATTTCAACGGAAAAGAACTGCGCTGCCCAATCGGCGTCATGAAAGGCCGTTGGACAGCAGCACGTCGTTCTGAAGAACGGAAGTGGAGCAAAGCCATAGACAATATTTACGACAATAGTGTTGTTGTGCGCCAACATCTCCGCGCACGAGCTGGCGCGGTAAGAAAGGCCATCGAGATCCGCGAAGAGAGTCAGCCACCAGGAAGAAGTCGTCTTCAATCAAACCTTTGCAATTTGCCTCGCACGGGCTTGAATCAAATTTCGAGAGAAGGTGGGTTTCTTGAACGCTATAGTCGATCCTGCAGCGGACCATCGATCGATTTTTGAGCTACTCTTGGCTAGAGAAGGAGAAAAGAATGAACTTCGAATTACAAGGATAGCAACTCAATCTCACTTCGAAATAAGCGTTCAAAGGACATAGCCAATGTACTGTAAACAGCTCTTCTGTACGAAGACTGGGTTCGAATTATCCAACCGGCGCACTTTTCGTACTTCGAATTATGCATTCGATTTTGACTTGAAGTGACTTGCAGAAGATCGGTACGACGAAAAAGTTCGAATTACACGGAATGTTCGAATTATACCGTATTCGAATTAGAGGGAGTCTACCTGTACTACTACTAGTACTACTAGTACTACTACTACTACAGTTGTGGCAAGTGAAATCCGACACTTGGCATAAGGGACTGCACCATGCAGTCTGCAGCCCCTGCAGCCCTGCATACGTACAGTACATGTGTTACATACAACTTTATCTGTCTGATGATAAAATTCGTACTCATCACAGTCAAGGTTCAAAAGGTGCTGGCAAAAATGAATGGGGATTGGATACCAATACTCCTTATCATGGCTTCATACATGTCACGTGCCTGTTGTCAGGTCGTTGCTAGCATTTGGCCAATCAGAGCAGCACCGTACCAGGGCATTATCAGACGATAATGCCCGGGTACGGCGTACCCATGCCCATTAGGAATGACCCCAGGCGTACTACGTACGCTGGTGCACTGCCAAATATGCACCAAGCCATGCCTTTTGGGCAGTGACCTGGTACATAATTGGCAGTACTCCAGCGCACATAGAACACATGGGACCATTCCTAAGGACACCACATGCACTCGCACACACCACACAAAACGAAACTACTAACGTGCACCGTCCAAAACATTTATATTTTACTAGCAATGTCGACATAGGAGAAGTAATTTATAACAACGTGACAATAGCACACAGCATGTCATTACCATGCATTACTAAATTCAAGTCAATTGAGACGAACAAGTCAACAGGTGAACATGCATCACAAAGTTACCTATCTGGAAGAGATCAGATTGTATCTCGAACTACTACAAAATATACAGTTACATCTACATTGTACTTCAAATGTACCTAGCTACATGATTGTCCAGTGTACACATGGACCTCAAGTAAACTGAAAGCAATGCGAACAAAATCTCAGATGTAAGTGAAAAAGTATCATTGTTCCGAATAAGAACACTTACAATGTACTCTCAAAACTAGTCTAATTACTAGTGCCCCTTGGTCAAGGATGTTTGCGGCCAACGTTAACCCCAAAGCAGCAGCGAATCAGCTAACTTCCGTACTGCCCAATAGGCAACACTAACACCAAAATGCAAAGACATATTCCTGGAACTGCAAGTAAATCTGACACAAAACGTTCTATCATTCCACGGAGAAAGCTCCTTCCGATCTTGTTCGACCCTTCATTCATATGACAGCTGATTGGAACTTTCCTCCTCCCTTGACCATGTTTACCTTATTTGTCTACAACTAGGCACGTGGCATGTATGAACTATAATAAACACATGGTGCGTCGTGCATTATGGCTGATTGTATGCCCTAGTGCGTAGCCCTCGGTCGTGCACCGTAGCCCGCGGGCCTGCGGCCCTTGGGCTACGGTGCACGACCTCGGGCTACGCACTAGGGCATAAATCAGCCATAATGCCCTCCGTACCATGTGTTATTATATACTTATGTGTACCATATTTGTGAACTGTGTGTATCTACGCTGCGACCTTTCGATCTGTTCGGGATGCATACGGCTCGAAAGTACAAAATAATTAGGTGCAGTGCATTACATCATTGGTGTCCATTTGTGGCGCTGTCCCCTATGGCAAGTGTCGGATTTCACTTGCCACAACTGTACTACTACTACTACTACTACTACTACTACTACTACTACTACTACTAGTGTAGCAGTGACACTACACTACATAACAGTACTAGAGTAGTTTGCCTTCACGACTCTGTGCCGGCGGCAGCGCTGAGAGCTGCTGTCGTGCAGAAGCGGAATGGTACTTCACAATCACACGATATGCCGAACATTGTCCCATGATACAGTAGTGAATTCTTGAGTTTTTGGACATTGTATTGCATAGCTGCTCCATCTAGTATTTGTTTTTCACATCTCTATTTCGTGTCAAGTAGTTTGTTTGGTATAGAACTATACCGGTAATTGCGAATGCCCTCTTCCGTGTAATCCTTGCTTCGAGGACTGTGGCTTGGAGCTACAATTGTGTTTTTTCTTGTTCATGATTTTGCTAGTTTCTCTGATTACTAGTACATGATTGTATTGTAAGAAAGCTAGTACTAGTTTCTTGCTTTCTCTCTACTTGTGTGCTCATAGTCATATCGGAATTGTGTTCTGCCCGTAAGAGTGGCTTCTTCACTAGTTACACTACTACTACCATGACTACAGTACAGGCTGTAGTACAGTCGAACCTCTTTAGGACGAACACCAAAGGACCGGTGGTATTTGTTCGCAATAACGGGAGTTCTTCTTATCCATAATAATTA